GGGCTAAGGGCCATCGATCCTCGACCCCTCTAATTCCTCCCCACCCCTCGATCGTGCAGCGTCGCATGGAACTACTCACTTCCGACATGCTGACCCGTGCTCTCACTCTGGTTTCCCGCGGCCAGCATGATCGCGCGATGCATCTCCTCAACGAAACCCGCAGCATTCTCAAGGGCCTAGGCAAAGGTGGCCTGCCACCTCTGCCCCCGGGTGCTTCCCGGCCCGACAGCGAGGCCGACAGCCGTGACGGCACCCCTGTCTCGGCCACTTCTCCCAAATCGTCTGGCTTCGGCGGAACTCATTCATCCGCATCCGACACCAACACCATTACACCGCCTTCCGCAGTCGATGCTCAGACGATGATTGCTCTGAACGCAGATCTGGAATCCTCCCTGGAGTGGATCAACCACCCGGCAGTCTTCGGGCGTGATTCACGCAAAGCAGTGCTACAGAGCATTGGTGTGATCTCCTCACAGCGTGCCTATACCTTCCGCACTCCATCCGAGGCTCACTGGGCCGAGCGTGTCTCCGGTGTGCGTCGGTTGACGGAGCGATCCCAAGACTGGCGCGAAACCGGTGATGACGCTTTGACGGAGGAGTAGGGAGTCAACTCTCTACAACTCAGCGCCTCTTTTTTTTCTTCTTTTTTTTATCCCGCCCTAATTTTTGATTTTTGAAACGCTCTCCATTGTGTCATATTCCCGACTTTTACATATCGAGTCTACGTATTATTTCCCCTTTGCTTTTTTCCCCCCTTTGCGGTTTCTTTTGCCATCCCTATGATACCACTTTGTTCCCATGACTACGCAACATGATACCAGGGGCTTTCCAAGGTTGTTCTTGATATGTTTCCGCTGTATTTGGACATAACATCTCTGTTTCTATGTAATTGCTCTGACGCTCTCGGCTATGGTGCGCTGGTGGGATGAGGTTTTATCGGTTTTCCTTTTTAACTTGTTTGGACATATGACGATTTACCGGATTTTATCATCTTTCAAATGTTTTTTTATACATCTAGCCTAGTTATTAGTTGCCTTGAATTAGTACATACCCATCTCATTGAAATTGTCCTTTGCTTTTCAGCCAAATATCTTGAGTGGATCGACTCGCGGGCCTGGCTATGTACATATTGTGAGAATTTATGGTACACCAGAGGAACAGTAAACTACATATATAGCCAAGAGATCTGACTGGATTTGAAGAAAAAACTAAGGATATCCTCATACTTAGGTAGCTATACGTACTTGATTTCCTCTGCCGGGGCTTTCCTATCTTAGCTGCCGCTTTTATGAGGGCGCTCAGAGTCAGGCTCACTAAGTAGATTTTAGTCCGGGCTCAAATACACCACGTGATAAACCAGTGATCTCCAATGAACGATCAGTGAGCGCTCAGTGAGGGTTTAGATTTCCTCTTTTCGGTCCAAGGATGTATTACTCGTTGGACTATGGATGGGGGACTACGATGCTTGCTATTATTGCTGTTGTTATAGGCCGCCCGGTACCTATTGTTCTTTGAAGATATGGTGAGCGACTTGGAGCTCGGAGTAGTTATGCTACTGGATAAAGTATGGATAACTTAAAGCTATAATTCACTTGTGAAGCTAGTATGAATCTATGTAGCCTCGGTCCAATCCACCTCTGCATTCATATCACGGGGACATAGCTCTCCCCCCAACTTTGGACTTGAATTCTATAACCTTCTAACGATAGGCATAGAAGGGCATTCGATAACTCTTGCCATGCTTGAGCGTGTTTGTATCCCAATATAATTTCGTCAAAATTCTTCCATCATCACAATGTCTTTGTCCTTCATATGGAAGCTGATCTTCGATTTTCTGGACTCTCTGGAACTCTCGTGGGAATGCGTCTGAGTGGAGGGAAGTTTCGAATGCGAAGGCGAGATAGTATACAACATACGGGTGACCAAAGGGACCATCCAAACATAACTCTCTCATTGGTTATTATCTTACCGCCAATTTCCTTACCGCCTTCTTTACGGGCGAGTAAGGATGCTACCGGCACATAACTCTGTCATTGGTTTATATTGCCAGTAATTTAGATCCACTAATGTTGTAGATGCTTAAAGATGTCTAAATACCTGGATTATAATGTTAATTTCTACTAAAGTAAAGTAAATCTGAATTGAATCTGAAGAAGATTGGTAGATCTCTTGGCCGCTAGTTTAGGGGTGAGTGAATCTTTATAGAATACTGTTGTAGTAAATACTACTGGGTGTGGGAGAAAGCAGAGGAAGAAAATTGTTGTTTGATTAAACTAGAAATGTAGGGGTTATATACCCTGCTAAGACCATCTAAACATTGCTCAGTTGTAGCAAACAAACTAACTAACTATATACCGGTGGCATACTTAGTCGCCCGTATACGTGCTCATGTGCGTAGAAGATCAACTCATTCAGCGTGAATCGATTGTGAGCCTCGTTATTTGGTGCATCACCAACAGCGTTTCGGATTCGTGAAAAATGTTTTCCTAGGTCAAGTTAGTTAACTCTCACTCGGGTTCTTGAGTGTACTCATGTAGTTTAGGAGGCAGGGAGATTGGTTGAATATCTTTCAGTTCAGTGTCCGAGTTTCCTATCATTAGTCTCAAACCGAGGATCTTTTGAATCTCGTTGCTTCCGAGCGAAGACATTGGTAGACTCGGGTAGCTTTGGGGGGATTCGTTCATTTCGCGAAGCAATGCTGATTGGGTGGCCAAGTAAGACTGCATTCAGTTTATCTGGATTAATGATCATGTTGATCATGCCAGGCTTTTTTGATAGACGATGGGGCCCATCTCAAAGAGGAGGGTTGTACGTGATGGTACTAGCGTGTTGCATTTTATTGATGTAGCTTACTTAGGCCGCTCACCCCTTGGCTCAGCTCAGGCTCAGTGAGCAGGTCAGTTTGCTTATGTAATGCTCAGTGAGCAAAAAAGCGGCAAGGTCTAAGCACTAACACGGAAAGAGAACGCCAAGAAGTGGCAGAGGTTATAGGTTAACTAGTTAACTATTTGGTATGTAGGTATGTATATTGTAGGCGGTAGAGTGGGGATTTTGGAGGTCCGACATGACGTTGCTCCCAGGCCGGTCACGAAGAATGGGGAAGGTGGCTGCTTATCGCCGTGTAGCTCTCAGTTCAACCTTCAACTTGCAACTTCCCCGGAGAGGTGTGGTTTACCCAAATCCGTTGCAAGTTCTTGAATTCTCTTCTTGATAACCGTTGCATAAGGGACAATACAGGCTCTCAACCATGCTTCGTCAAGCTATGGCGCGCGCTTTCCGCAGCGCATGCGCATATCCTTCCTTATCGCCGAAGCCCTCCATTCACCCCAAGGCCGCCTCACTAGCAGCTCAAACATCACGCTCATACAATACTGCAGGGCCTCGAATTTTTACTCGTTGGCCTACCTCTATGCACTCTCAGATCACGCCTCTACGACATCCCCAACCCCAATCACAACTCTCATTTCGCACACTTTCCCCAAGCAACCGGCGCACCTTCTTCTCAAACCGCCAGTCCCCCTACCAACAAAGACAGAACCAATACAATCGATTCCGAGGCAGCGCTCGCCAACCTATCGTCTTCCGCTTAGTGCAGAATGCAAAACCACACCACTTTGTTGCGATTGGCGTGGGGATATCTGGACTTTATCTATACAACACGGAGATAGTGGAGATGACCGGTCGACGACGGTTCAACTGTGTCTCTCGTCATCAGGAGCTCAACATGGGCGAAGAGAGTTACCGCGAGGTTCTCAGTGCCGAGCGTGGGAAGATCTTGCCCCATAACCATCCTCTTACTCGTATGGTTGATGGCGTGCTGCAGCAGTTGATCCCGCAGGTGGCTATTGAAGGTGCTGATTGGAAGGTTCATGTTATCAAGGATGATGGAATGGTTAATGCTTTTGTGCTTCCTGGGTAAGCTTTTGCTGGGTTTGTGGTGTTGATGCTTGGGTTCTATGGTTGTTGTGGATATGGCTAACACTGTTTTGCTTTGCTTAGAGGAAAGGTATTCGTCTACACGGGTATCTTGCCCATTTGCAAAGATGAGGATGGCTTGGCTGCGGTGCTGGGACATGAGATTGCTCATGTTGTGGCTCATCATCCCGCAGAACGTATGAGCAACAGTTTCATCACACTGGGAGCTGTGTTCGCTATCTCTTTCTTGTTCGATGTCTCCGGGCAGTTTTCTTCTTTCCTTTTGAATCTGATGTATAGCTTGCCGAACTCGCGAACGCAAGAGGTATGGTTTTTTTTTTTTTGGTTTTACTATATGCTCACTTGGCTAATTTCTATCTACAGGCTGAAGCAGACAACATCGGATTGAGTATGAACCCCGAAGTTGAGGATAAATCAACTTGCGATTATATCGCTAACGATTGTCGCCAGTGATGATGTCCAAAGCCTGTTTTAACCCCAAGGCAGCTGTCAATCTGTAAGTCAACGTGATAGAATAGGCAGCGTTTCGGCCTTTGCTGATAATTCCTAGATGGGCTCGCATGCATGAACAGGAGAAACAGGCTCCTCCGCAGTTTATGTCTACTCACCCATCGGTAGGTTTGGAAAATGCCTATAAATGGATCATAACTAACTCACTAGTAGAGTTACAACCGAATGGAGACCATTCAAGGATGGTACGACCTTCTCTCCTGTGTTGACTTATTTGTTACTAATTCGACCAAATAGGCTTGACAAGGCCGAAGCAATCTACGAGGAGAATGGATGCAGCTCCGTCAAAGGATACAGTAAGAGCTTTATTTCTTTGTTTCATATACTGAATTGCTAACATCTCTAATCTCTAGTGCCTGGTTTCCGAACTGCTTATAATTCGCATGTCTCGCATTTGAGATGATGAACAGAGCATCGAAGTCGATAATACATTGACATTACCTGTATAATAGCATTAACCAATGTAGTAATAAACATTCATGAAAGATAAAAGAAGCAATTAACATATATAAAAAAAATAGAAGGGTTAAAGATTGTATTATGGTTGATCTAGTATGTTGTATAGTCAGAATGCCAAGCACCTGGACAACTGGTGGGCTCCCCCTCGTGCAAACCGAGCAAACCCACCACCGCAGCTCCAAAAATTGCCCGGCACAACAGCTCCATCCACTCCTTCACATTTAACCCTTTTGATATCCCAGTCGCATCTCATTCGGACGCGACCTAATATCATGTCACTATCAATTCCCGGTCCCTCCCAGGCGGGGCTCTTCAAGCCCGGGTACCAGAGGTGAGTTCGAAAAGTCGGGGAGCCCGAAAACCCACCGCAAATAGGGACCTCCTTATCTGGCGCCCCTCCAAAAAAGAAGCAAAGCAATTGACTGATCTCTTTTCCCTGCCTTACAGCCACGATGCCGAAGATGGAGCCGTTATCCGTAACATCGAAGCCTGCCAGGCTATCTCAGGAACCGTCCAGACTTCCCTGGGCCCCTATGGCCGCAACAAGATCGTCATCAACCACCTGCAAAAGATGATTCTGACCTCCGACGCGGCTACGATTCTTCGTGAGTTGGATGTTGTTCACCCCGCTGCTAAGCTGCTTGTGATGGCGAGTCAGCAGCAGGATGCGGAGATGGGCGATGGTACGAACTTGGTTATTGTGTTGGCCGGTGAATTGTTGAAGAAGGCAGAGGAGTTGATCCGTATGGGCCTCAAGACGAGTGATATTGTTTCCGGATACGAGAAGGCTCAGAACTTTGCCTTGTCCGTTCTAGAGGGTATGTTATTCCCCTTTCATGATTGGTTTTATCGATATACAAATGAGGGAATTGTTTCTGATTCCGTCTAGAGCTCGAGGTCGACAGACTCCAGGATATGCAATCGGCAACAGAATTGAGCAAGGCTCTCCGCACAGTGGTGGCCTCTAAGCAGTCCGGCACGGAGGATACTTTGGCTGCGTTGGTTGCGGAGGCGGTTCTGGCTGTGTTGCCCAAGAACCCCCTTAACTTCAACGTTGACAACGTGCGCGTCGTTAAGATTATGGGTGGTAGCTTGGAACAGTCGAAGGTGGTGAAGGGTATGGTCTTCCCCCGGGAACCCGATGGAACTATCAAGAAGGCCACCAAGGCCAAGGTCGGCGTTTTCAGCTGCCCCATCGATATCAGTCAGACCGAGACCAAGGGCACAGTTCTCCTGAAGAATGCCCAGGAGATGATGGACTTCACCACGGGTGAGGAGGATCGTCTGGAGGTTGCCATTAAGGAACTCTACGACTCCGGCCTCCGTGTGGTCGTTGCCGGCTCCACTGTTGGCGACTTGGCCATGCACTACCTCAACCGTTTCAACATCCTTGTTATTAAGATTCTGTCCAAGTTCGAGCTCCGCCGCTTATGCCGCGTTGTCGGTGCCACGCCTCTGGCTCGCCTGGGTGCCCCCATGCCCGACGAGATGGGCCAGATCGACATTGTCGAGACCACCGAGATTGGCGGTGACCGAGTGACCGTCTTCCGCCAGGAGGATGTCAACGCCATCACCCGCACAGCAACCATTGTCCTGCGCGGTGCCACCCAGAACCACCTCGAGGATGTCGAGCGTGCCATCGACGACGGCGTCAACGTCGTTAAGGCCATCACCAAGGACCCTCGTCTCGTGCCCGGTGCCGGTGCTACTGAGATCGAGCTCATCGAGCGCATCTCCAACTTCGCCGACCGAACCCCCGGTCTGCCCCAGTACGCCATCCGCAAGTTCGCCGAGGCCTTCGAGGTCGTCCCCCGCACACTCGCCGAGTCTGCCGGTCTCGATGCCACCGAGGTTCTCTCGCGTCTGTACACCGCACACCACCGCACCACTGCTCCTGGCGAGTCATCTGCCGAGGAGGATGAGGAAGAAGGCAGCTCGTCTGAAGATGAGGAACCATACTGGACTACAGGTGTGGACCTTGAGATTGGTGACTCCGACGGCACTTTGGACACTGTCGAGGAGGGTATTCTGGATCTTATGGCTACAAAGATGTCTGCGATCCGTCTGGCCAGTGAGTCTGCCCGGACGGTGCTGAGCGTCGACCAGATCATTGTCTCGAGACAGGCAGGTGGCCCTAAGCCTCCGCAGGGTGGAGGTGATTGGGACCAGGACTAAATTTTTTTTTAAAAAAAGGAGCGATGAGGGTCTGGATGTTGTTTGATAATATGAAGCCTATAGATCTTCATACGATGATATGCTTTTTGAGAACCATACGTTATAGACTGACTCTCACTTTCTTCTGCAATGAAAAGTAACCCAAAATGGCTGCTATACAATTGGCACTACAAACCATTTCCGACAATAGTACGGTGATCCCATTATTAGGCAACCTCCGCAGTATTATCCAACTCACTTAAAAACCAACTTTCATCTTATAATCCCGCGAATAAGTATAGAACTCTTACCAAGTTTCAACTCGACTGTGGTCACTCTCATGAATGAAACAAGTACTGAATCAAATGGTATTGGCGCACTTACTTTTACACCTTCCTTTACAGTCAACGTTATACTTGCGATCCTCGTCATATAACTACTTCTATCAATACATATGGCACTGACGGTTCGGTATTGGCGCTGGATTTCCGCTTGAGGTACCGGCTGAAACGGGCATAAAATCCTTTGCATGAGACATACAGTGGAGAGGAAGACAATATACATTGGTGTCAGGGGCCTCCATACATTTGGTATATAGGAATGAATGTATCTCTTAGAATTCCCTATATTTAGATACCATCTATAGTAGTCGTGAATAACTATGTTGTTATGTTTTGTACTAAAACATGATGACCTAATCAAATATATGATCCATGGATGGATGTGTAATGTTGTTGGCCTGATAGATAGACATATATGCCTGAGGCATCATACATCACGTGTTACTCCCAGATTTTCCTCAAGTGTTTCCTTTCGGTCTTGATATCAACGAGCCGCGATTCCAATCCCCACCACTTTGCTCTAATTCCCCTTTCTCTCGAGCTTCCCGCCTCTTTCTCACCTCCGCCATGTCCTTCTCCACCCAGGCCGCAGCCCGCTGCGCCAGACAGCTCTCCGGCTCCGTCCGCCCGTCCTCCCTGCGCATCGCGACCTCCGCTACATACCTCACAGCCCGTCGCACACCCAGCAGCCGGCGATCCGAATCCACCCAGGCAGCTCCTGATGCTGCCACCAACCCCAAGATCTCCCAAATTGTCGACCAGATCAGCACATTGACTCTGCTCGAGACTGCCGATCTGGTGTCTAGCTTGAAGGTGTGTTTGACAATCTACACAATCTACACATAACCAATGGATTTCCAAACGAGACATGCGAACCCTGCATATATCTCTCTATCTACATCATCAGTCTACTCAATTGAGGTATTTGTCTGAACTATGCTAATTAACACTTTTGTACAGACCCGCCTGAACATCCCCGACCTTCCCGTTGGCGGCTTCGCCATGGCCGCTGGTGGTGCCCCCGGTGCGGCTGCTGCCGTTGAGGAGGAGGAGGCTGCTCCCGCCGCCGCTGAGAAGACGCTGTTCAACCTGAAGCTCGAGTCATTCGAGCCTACCTCCAAGCCCAAGGTCATTAAGGAGATCAAGACCATGCTCGGCCTGTCGCTGGTGGACAGCAAGAAGTTCGTCGAGTCAGCACCCAAGATTCTGAAGGAGTCTGTGCCCAAGGAGGAGGCGGAGAAGCTCATCGAGACGTTCAAGGCGCTCGGTGCCAAGGCTACTATGGAGTAAAACAGCTGTGGTATTATTTAGGCACGGGGAGGGGATAGATTGGGAAGAGAGTCGAGGAAGATGTTGCTGCTTTAGGTCTTTTCCTCTCTTTTTTCCATCTCTTTGAATTCTTGCTTTTGAGAGATCTTGTTGAGCATTTATTGTGTTTGGCCTGGCAGATCAAGGCAAAATGTACATTATACGCATTGTGTTCTGAGACCGTCTGGTTCAGAGGGCTCATTTGATTAATTGATGCATTTAGCATATAAGATGCTATTCTATTACTTTTAAAATCGGTAAATATCTTTTGAATACTGGTTTTGGCGTATGGTCAAATTGGTAGAGATCTAAATATCGGAGTAGCTTCGCGGTGAAGTTCCCGACCTCCAGAACTTCAACCAAAAGAAAAAAACCACTCCCCTCACCTACTACCTCCACCATTTGCTCTCCGCACTCTTTTTTAATGACCAGACCATTAATTTCGCCAATACAATGGCGTCAATTACACCAAGCTCTCTGTCCGACAGCCCATATCTTGCGCCACCACCGCGCGCAAGCTTGCACCGCTCGAGCTGTCACCAATAGCAACACAACTACCTCAAAACGACCCTTCCACACCACTCAAACTCGATCAGCTATCAGGCCTTCTCGCAAAGCACCATCTGTTCGAAAAGAAGCGAGGGCGGGGGTACCCCGGAATGTGTTGGTAGGCCGAGGCGGAGTGAAACTAGACCGTGATGGGTTCTGGAACAGTTATTGTACTGCGCATGTTGAACCAACGTTGGCTGAGTTTAAGCAATTCACACGCCAACTTTATGAGACTTATCAGATCTTCATACCGCCGGGTGTCAACATGGCGACATTCGGGTCTGTGGGTGAACAGTTGATCAGGCTATCGCACTCACAGCTCCCTTCCGCAAGTCTTGTTCGGAGTATTTCAATAGGTGAGTTTAAGATTCGAATTGGTATATAGTGAAAGGCTATATGCATTGGAAATCTCGATACTAACCATGCACTTTGTGATAGATGTCGACGCCGTTTATCGAATCGCTCTCCTTCTCGCGGATCTCCAGAAAGGCCAGTACATTTATCAATGGGCGTTGACCGCCTGCGCAAAAGCGAATTCGCGTCGAGCCCTTGTCGAACTCGTGAACCGGTATATCAGTACGGAAGGTGTGGACATTTATCAGAATACCGAGTGCATAGCGAAGGTCAAAGACTTGGCTCTCAAAGATGAATTCCCTCATGCGATTATGCTATATGCCAAACTGCTCATCTGGCGTGGCGAGAACGCAGAAGCCGCCCGGCTTCTAGAGCAGAAGATTCTACCATATCTGCAACCCGTTCGCAAAAACCCTCCCCTTTGGGAGGATATAAAGATGATGGATAACTTTGATCCTCCCTGGCGGATGTATGCTGTTGCTGTTGAGAAAGAACAAGGTCTGGCGGGAATCCAGAGGGTCATGAGCCGGGCCGCCATGGAGTTCCACGACCCAGTGGCCATGACCGATTATGCCATCTCGGCGTTGGAAACGGAGGCACCCAATAAATACGAGGTGTACGAGACGTTCATGGCTGCCGCTGCGTTGGCGGGACACTCTCCAGCCTGCTTTCACCTTGCCAATTTCTATTACCGCACCTCTCAAGGCGAATTCACTACCGAAGCAGAGAGAAACGCCAAGAAGAGGGAAGAGGCTAATGCCGCGCGTAGTGCCTTGTTGAGACGATTCGAACCTATAGCGAATTGGGTTTATATATTGTTCAACCAACCGATGGATCGCGAGACATACCGCATGCTCGCGATGGACTGGTACGAGCTTTCTTTTGATAAGGGGAACAGTGAGGCTGGGTATATCCTGGCTCTGCTCTTCCGCGAGGATGGCAATATGGAGAAGAGCCGTGAGGTGTACAAGCTTACTGCTAAAAAGGGACTTCCTACCTCGTTGTCCAAGAAGAGCCTGGCAGAGATGAGGGAAAAGTGGGAAGACCAGACCTTCAACCCTGGTCTACCTCCTAAGCTCTTGAGACTTGCTTAGATGGTCTAGAGATATTGTGTTTATATCTCTTCTTCTTCTCTTCTGTACATCTTTTTGCCTATATCCCACTATGTATCATAGCAATGTTTCTTTTTGGGCCTTGATTGATACCTTTTCTTCTATATATCCCCCGCTCCCAAGCATTCATGTCTCATGTCGCTTATTCCATGCTTGAACTGACAGAAAGAGAAAACAAAAATATAAAAAATTAGAACTGTCGTTATGCATCGCTGTTTCATCCCCGAATCCAGAATCTCCCTTTCCTCATGCCAACCCGACACAAAGCCATTCACAGACTCCAAACTAACAAGTTATTTGAAGCATGATAGTATGATAGTATCAACATAACAGAAGAAGAGAAAAAAAGAATCTCTCCCCTACAAAAATGACAAGAATCCCCAACAGATCACCGCCTTTTCTTCCCCTTCCCCTTCCCATGCCCTCTCGTCTTCAACTCCACAAACCCAAGCTCCTTCAACCCCTCGGCAAGAATCGACGAATCCCTCATCCCAGGAAAATCCTTCGCAGGATAAACACGGAACGGATCAGACCAGGCCTCCGCAAGAATCGGCATCGACTGCCCCGTATCCTCAACAGAACCCCAATTCATCAATCGGAACTGGAGCCTGTAAAGACCCGCCGAGCGAATCGAGAGATCCGCGAAAATGAAAAACGTAGCTGGTTGATGGAGACGCGAGGCGGCGTGGTTGTAGGCATTGTGAGGATGGTTATCGAGACGAGGATCGGTTACCGAGGATGGGTGTGCGGGTGCGGAGTTGGGGTCTGGATCTTCGTCGACGTAGAAGGGGGACATGAAGGCTTTGCCGGATAGTAATGGGGTTGAGAAGTTGTCATCTGTGCGGGCGATGCCGTCTGTTTCCCGTTCTCTTTCTCTTTCTCTTTCTCTTTCGCGTTCGCGTTCTCTATCGTGGTTCTGACCACGGTCCCAGTCTTGATCGTGGTCGTGATCGCGCTCGCGCGAAGGTGTTTCTGTTGGTTCGGCCCATGGCAGCGAAGGCGAGACGGGGAATAGTAGACAGCCTATTGTGAAGCGGGGGTCTTGGAGGAGATCCCGGTCATCTTGGGAGGTGGAGTCGAAGTCGGTAAGGAGGATCTGCACAATTGGGGGAGGGTCGACTGGGCGGCGGTCTCTGTCGCCTGCGCCACAGGCTCGTGCTGCGATGGGCTGTTGTCGGATGTGGAGATGGTACCGAGATTGGGTTGATGGTCGTCTGGGTGGAGGAGGAGGTGATGGTGAGTGTGGCTTTGGTGAATGGTGAAGGAGTTTGTCGAAGCCGTGTGGCATTCTGTAATTCGCATTTCGGGATTGTGGTTTCGGGTCTTGGTGGGTGGTGGCTGAGATAGAATTGAATGGATAGGTGACAGCACTTTTATCTGACCAGACGGGGCTGGGCATGGCCGTGGAAGAACTACTGTGTTTATATGAATTTCGTTGGTCAGAATGTGGTTCTTGTTCGAATGTCCCTTTGTATTGTGTAACCTGTCACAGATGTGACATGGGAATGAGCGATTGTATTCGAAAATCTCAAAACCAAAGACATCGCATCAGGACGGACCACTGACAGATAGAGAGATGGTTTTCAATCGACAGAAACAAAAAGAGAGGGACTTTACTGGGACTCCACGTCGTATGTCCAGCTCCGGTGACTATCATAGTCACGGGCATGGCTCGAAGTTGGGTATGTTCTCTCTTCATATGGGTTGTAATAACTGCGGGCATCAGAGCTTCCCAAGGGTTGCTGGTATGTTCGCAGTGGGAGTGCTTGTGGCATAGGTTGTGTGTTCATGTAGGCATTGTCGGACGAGAGCATGTATCGTGGATCTGCACTTCTCTCCGGAACAACCAAGGCAGGAAGCCTTGGGCCAATGGGTGGCGCCCCGAGTATAGGACGCTCATAGCTCGAGCTCTGTATAATCTGTCGAGGTTCATGTCGGTATGGATAGGGCATGGGTATCGAACCGCGGTGTTGAGTGCGGGGGACCGAATCGATGTATGGTCGTTCCGGTGTGGAATTCCCACATTGCTGTGGCGGTGGCCTCGACATCTATCGGGAGGACTTGCGCAAGTGCCAACAGGTGGTCCTTGTGTTATAGTTTAGATCTTGCCGTATTTGGGTGTGTTTCAGATGAGGCAGGTATCAGATGAGGCATTGAAATGTAACCCAAGTGGTCAGATCATCAAAATGAGAAAAGAGTCAATGTCCCAAGTAGAATTGTATGTATGTTGGGAGTGAAACAGAGAAAAACGCACGTCAAAAATGCATATCCGGTCAATGAAGGCATCTGATAAACGGCATGTGAATGCAGCCGGTTAACAGCAGCCGGTTAATAGCAAGGCCTCATGACACGATTTCAGTATGGTCCTTTTTTTTCTTTCTCTCTCTCTTCGCTGGCTCTGTGAGATTGGATCTATACTTCCCGCGGAGATTCGTTGGCCACCGATTTTCCTCAGGAACCGGAAAAAACCAAAAAAAAAACGTCCACAAACAAAATTTAAAAACACCCTTGTTCGGTTTCCCCGGGCTATCCAATCACCCGAGAGCTGGAATATGACAGGGACCCAGGATGCAGGATGGTACCAACAGTATGGATAACTCCGTGATTTCCCTCGGGTTTTAGTAGAAACACATCTTGGATTGATTCTCTACGATTGGCGCTGTATCCACCGATGATGAGAAACGGAAGAGCCGGGGGGAACGGGCCGAGCGGGTTTTCGCCACGAGAAGGGGAGACCAGGACTAAGTGGGTGTTTGTGGACATGGGTATGTGTGGGTTGTGCCTCCATGGGAATGGTGCGTGGGAGCTGGATGAACTAGAGAACTGTTCCCTGGCAGAAACTGGCGGGGGATCTCGAATCTCTCGAAAGACGGTCAGACAATTGAACATGAGTGGACATCTTTCTGCATTGTGGAACTCGCGTGTACAACTGAAGGTTTTCCTGGGAACCGGGGTGCTTCGAAGTATCTCGTGTTGCCAGTGTACAGGTCGGCTGTTTCCGACCTAAAGGGATAGCGCCAGTGGAATTGTGCCTTTTTGCGAACCAGTCTACGGGGTTGCAGTGGGCCACAAATTGGACTATATGGGGACTATCGTGTCTTAGTCCGTCCCAAATGTGTATGTTGTAAATAGTACGGAGTACTTACTCCGTACACCGTATGGAGTACGGACGGAGTACGGTGTAACGGGTCTTTCGAAGGAGAAAACCTAGAAGATCCCCGCTTTATAGAGCACAGAAGTGCAAAATTTGGCGGATGCTGACCGACAAGCCTTTGAAGCAGTTGGTATCGACCCGGTTTTCAAAATCCCAAGTGGCTGGAGCTGGAAGCTGCTGTGAGGCGCGGTGATTGGCGTTCAACCGTTGCTTGGCAATCCTTTAGAAAGGGATCTGCCCCCTCTCTTCCCCCCACAATGGGGAATCTGAAAGCTGTGTTCATTGGGACTCCCAGTGGTAGTGGGCGTGAGAGGTATACGATATAGTCCCGGGGAATATTTTTTGTAGCAAGTGGTAAGCTTTTCGGGAGGGAAAGCCACGAGCAATAGAAACCGGCGAGTTCATCAGATAGCTTTCCTGGAATTCAAATTTAATTAAAATTTGTCGGATAACGCTCTTACCATTGCACTCGCTCGTGGATCTCCGAGTGAGCTTTGATAATTATAATTGGGGATGGGACAATGATCGTTGGCTGTCAGATCGATCGGCGAGGCAGCTGCAAGTTGGTGAAGGCGAACGAACTAAGGTTAGATAGACGGAGTTCAAATGGGTCCAAGCGTTAGAGGCAATCTATTGTCGGCGAAGAATAATGGATCCCAGAATTTTGCCTACATCATATGTGGCGCTTTGCCCATGCTGTGGGCCATTTTTGAAGATTTTGCAGCCCAATGCTGGAAAAATTTGTCCAACGAACTGGAATTCTTCGAGTAATTGCAGGAGTCTGTCAAGGGTGACCCATTTGAGCTCTAAACATCGGCAGATGTAGGAACTCAGACCCCGTGAGCTTCCACATCAGTTCTCATGCGCCGATTTTAGAGACGCAGATCACAATGGCCTCACTGCAATGATTGCTTGGTGGATGAGAATCGAACACCCTATGATGTAGGGCGAACCCACACAAGTCAAAGTTTTTCTTGGTATGCACCCCCACGTCGAAGTGTGGGAGTCGTACAATAACATGACTGCCGTCTTGAGAGTCTTGCAGATCTACAATTGTTGCGTGCTGCAGGAGTGCAATAAATCCAAGTCTCCATGTGCTCATCGTGACACAGGTGACCAGGATAGGAAGAGATATTCCGACAAGCCCCATTCATAGCAAGCCACATCCCTGACTTCAAAGGCTTCGATATCAAATGGGTGGCCATCTAAAGGGACAATCCTGATGTTGAAAATGTCGTGGGTGGCTTGACTCCCTGTGTAGAAAATCCACCTCAGTGCATATCACTGGTAAACTTATCATCACATCTCCGAGGACACCGAGATAAACCGAGATTGGATATTGATCCTAGTCGATTGCCGATCAAAAATTGTTGATTGGCAAGGGTATGTTCAAGGGTAGGGAGATCTCCGTGGGATTCTAGACGAAGAAGTAGAATATCGTAAAGCTTTTACATATTGAAAAATGAGAGTGATACTGGAGATGGAAGAGTAACTGAAAAGGACATGACTGGCGACTACAATGTTGTGGTACATCTCGATTCTGCCGCAACACATCACCACTCATATCACCGCTCAGTCATATCAACATCCTGTTCTATTCATCTGTTCTAATCAAGTGACATTTTCATGATTTCAAGATGGGTATTTCACATGCAGGGAAACATTTAATACTCTAGATCTGCACTGGGGTCCACATCCAGATAGTAAGGTCCCCAGCAATTTCGAGAATGAGTGCGTGTGCCACTAGGATAAAATGTGCGCTCAGGATTGGCTGAGAGCGTAAGATGCATCAAGGCACCAAAAGGGCCATCTGAAGGCGCTGGTCCACTGTCGATGACCCTGGTGTTCTGTCCAACGTAAAGCCCGAGGAGTTCCCCGTAATGACGGTCCCAAACCACGATGTAGCCTGATGGCTGCCATGGTTCGTCTGGTCCATACCGCATATCCATGCAGCCAACTTGCATCAAATGTAAATTGTCGGACCCCATCTGAGGAACTCCATGAATGGTCAAACGAGCCCGAATAAGGCCTAGGGTAGATGGAGTCATAGGCTTAGAAGAATCATGCAGCGCCGGAATTTGGGAGTTGGAAAATTCGATCGGTGAGTGTTCTGGTACCCATCGGAGTTCAAGCGATTCAAATTTGGAGTGGAATTCATCAAGTCGTGCCGCATTGTAATCAAGATGGGTGACTATCTTTTGGGATTGTCCGTCGTAGTCATTCAACAGATTTACGACCCTCCGCAGTGTAGCCGGAGACTTGGAGCAGCCATGAACGTAAAGTTCTGTATACAACTGTCCTCCATGATCAGGTTCAGCGGGTTTGTTATCAATTTTGGGCAAAAGTTGATCATCAAATGCTTCCCAGATCGTTTCCGAGGGATTCGAGGCCGCACTGAAATGGCTTTGACTAGCAGGGCTCCATTGAACACCCATCCTTCGATCCATGTCCTCAAGGCAAAACCCAAGTAGTTCGAGGTAGTCCTCTCCCCTCACCAAATCAGGTAATGCCTCACCCACAATAGGATCATCAAGGAGGAATCGAATATTCGGGAACTTCGCAATGAATGGCAAGTTATCACCACAATGTTGTGAGATATCTTCCAACCATTTTGCTGCTGTTTCTGACTGAACATTTTGGACTAGAGCCAGCACTATCTGATAGGCAGCGATGCAGCTTTGGTGGTTTTTAGGCTGAATATTCTTTAAAAAATGGGACCAGCATCTGCGCAGCATTCCATCGTTCCCAAGTCTAGCAAGTAGACAGATGTAATCCTGGGCCTTGGTTTCAGAATTGAATCGGTTGCCAATTTGATCAGTAGACTGCGTCCAGAACAATATATCATGCAAATTGTGATCTTGTGTCACAGATTCTTCTTCGCCTGTAATCTCAGCAAGGATGGGATTGGGATCATAGTATGGATCCTCAAAGGCTTTGCAGTCAAGTGCCTCGGAGCAATATCGGACTACCCGCAAACTTTCCTTGAGACTTAAGGCTGGAAAGCCCATCTGGTGGTGCCCATCCAAGCAGTGCCTGAGATCTGAAGTCGAAAGATTAAAAGATGCAAAGTATAAAGCTATAGTGTACATCCCAGGTTGAATAGGAAGCTGGAGACGCTTCAGTCTTGCAAACAAGTCACGTAGCACAGATAGGATTTCTGCTAGTGTGTTTTTCCGTTGACAGCGTCGCAAAGCGTGGTGTAATGGCAAACAATTACGACTCTGCAAAATCTCTGCTCCACGCCTGTCGTTGACATATCTCTCAATTAGACTCCGCAAGGAAGAGACATCGGCAATGTCGCTATTGGCATCCCACAACAACTCTTGGTTCTGCGATGTAAGCCCTTTGAGGGAGGTCCACAATGGGGGAGGTGGAGTGTTGAGCTTCCATCCAGTGACAAAAAGTCCACGAAGGTGCTCAGATAAGACCTCGTTAGTATTCGATTCAAGAAGTGGCTCAGTTGAATCTGTTAGGGCGAATCGAAGCAGTTCAGATGGTGATGGGTCATGGGGTCGTTTGATTGTTGCAGGATAGATGCTGCGCATCGATTGACCTGACAATACATTCCCAGTGTTCAGCTGTCGCCTTGATTGCAACAGCAGCAACCGAGTGTTCAACCCTCTCATGTTGACCAAAGTAAAGCTGATCTGAGATGTGGAGAACCTTGAAGATAAACACGGACTGATAAGGGGGTTAAAGTCTGGGGTTTGACTGGCAGATTAAGGGCGGTGTGGGAGGCGGTATTGGACCGCATTCGCGCTTTTATTTCGTCTTCAACCCGCTTCCATTTATTATTAACCTAGCTGCCAACAAAACAACCACCGCTTTCTATCCATAACTGCTGTGGATCTATTGATCAACCTGAGAAAATTATGGTTCGAACCAGAAATGCAGAAAAATCCGCGAAGGACGAGGCGAGCCAAGAACAGTCCATTGAGCAACCGACCGAGCAACCGACCGAGATCACGAGCGAATCGCCTGTCACAACTTCTGAAAATAAGGACACATCTCAACCAGAAGACACAAATGATGACGGTGCATCCAAAGCGCGCGAGCGAATGAATAGGTTCAAAGCCCTGCAGGCCCGGGCTGTAAGTGGTCCTCAAAATGACTTGCGCAGATCAATAGGATTAGCCAGTTTAACTTCCTCACATAACTGACACAACATATAGAAATCTGCAACGGAGCGCAACCTAAAAGAGACTGCAGCTGAGTCCCAACGTCTGACTACGGACCCGGCTCTGCTAAATACATTGTCCCGCAAGCATGCATTCGCCTCCCACAACCTCCTCAAAGCAGACACCGAAGCTGGCGGAGAAGATTTCGAGCGCAAGCGCGCATGGGACTGGACAGTCGACGAATCGGAGAAATGGGATAGGCGCATGGAGAAGAAGCAACGCCACCGAGATGACGTGGCTTTCCAGGACTACACTCAAGATGCCCGCAAGATTTACAAGAGACAGTTAAGGGAGATGGCACCGAACTTCGAGTCCTACCAAAAAGACAAGCTTGCTGCGATTGAGAGAGCCGCGGCTAACGGTGATCTCGAGATTGTGGAGACAGAGGATGGTGAAATGATTGCAATCGATAAGAACGGTAGCTTCTATTCCACTGCGGACTCGACTGGATTTACGGAAAGCAAACCAGATCGGGCTGCTGTTGACAGACTGGTCAACGATATCCAGAAGGCAGAGGAGGTGCGCCTGAAGAAACGCAAGGAGCGCCGTGGTGGTGATGATGACGCGGATGTGACATACATCAACCAGAAGAACAGACAGTTCAACCAGAAACTCGCTCGCTTCTACAACAAGGTCAGTGTTCCCTTGCTTTGTTTTTGTGTGATCGTTTCGCTAACACTTTTCTTAGTACACAACCGAAATTCGGGACAGCTTCGAGCGTGGTACCATGATCTAATTTGAATGTGAAATTGATAGCGATATTTTACATGAGTGGAACTTCCGAGCTATCCAGCTGTATTTGGACAAGGCATCAATCAACAGGCGGAGATTCCGCATATTTTCCCCTCTGCCCAAAAAAAAAACATTGTTTTACAAACATACACGTCACTTGATCAGCCAACATATCTAAAGCATCGTCTTTCGCCAGGCTTTTGTTGCAAGTGCCTCAATCTGTTTTGTTCCGACTGCACCCTTGGTGGACTCATCCTCCAATGCCTCGACCACCGCTTCGCTCACGATATCGGCTTTGAGGGGCTTCTCGGCCATAGCCCCGAGGAATCCGAGCTTATTCCCGAGGAATGTGTTGAACTCTGAGGCAACAAAGCCACCCATTGCAAGTGGCAGCGTTAACTTCCGACTCGAGTCGTACATGAAGCCCGGGCGTATGAAGACGCTTCGTAGGTCTGGAAGGTTGGATGTGATAGTCGCCTCTGCTTCTCTTTTAGTACTGAGGTACCTGGCTGGTAGAACTGGTGCCCCGGCCGCCGCAGAGATGTAAACGAAGGTCGGAACATGTTCGTTGACGGACTCTTTAGCTAGCGCAATTGCTAAATCACACATGTGTCAGCTTTCGAAATAGACTTTAGCACTCTTGTACGCACCAGAATCTCGATTCATCAGCTCATAGGTCAGCTGTTTATCTTTCTCCTTTGGCTCTAAAGCCTCGCCTTCTTGTCTCGTTAAAGGGTTTTGGCTTCCAAGCTTAGATGTACTAAAAGCTCGTTGAAGGCCGCTAAGAATTGGTTCCCTCCCTTGCACAACGCCTTTGTAGTCGGCTTCCAAGAGGATTCCCATTGAGTGGACGACAGCAGAGGCACCATGCAAATGTGGCTTGTAGCTCTCTGGCTTGAGGATATCGGCCTTGGTCCATTCCACGGAGCCTGCCCAGCTGGGCCGTTCCCGAGAATCGGTGACTGTGTCCCATCGAGGCTCACCAGATCGACTAGACAATGATCAGCATTTCGCTCTTCCATAGGTTCATACATTGGCGGGAAGGCTACCTTAATGATATAACTGTCCATCCCCTTGCTGTTGCGGCTTTACAGATCCTGGATCCTGGAATAGCTAGTCAGTAACATGGTATTTCTATTTTGCCCGGGATGGGCATCACAAACCCAAAAAACCACTTCCTCCAGCAACGACTAGTCTTTTGGTCGGCATGCTGTAGCTTTGAGATAGCTCCGGAGAATGATATCACTAAAGAATCGAAATAGTAGCCCCAGGTATTTAGGATAGCAATTGATACTTCAGAGCTGAGCTGAGGAAGTCAATATCAAGTTCTTCAATAAGTAAAACAATGAAATAGTTCAAGGTAATTGTCTTTTGACTAGAAGTTATGTTCGGCATCATTCGCCTTCTTGTCGGCCCACTTGAGCCACGCCGGATTATCCTTTTTTCCGCGACTTTCTTGCGCCCTTGTTCTGGACAATCCATTCCCATCTGATTCTACAATCTACATTCAACTTACAAGATGGTATCTGCCACAGGAAACAAGCGCGTCAGGGTAAGCTTCAAAGCCTGAGAAATACCGAAATCAAACTAACACGTTCGCAGGGCGTCTCGGTGTTCCGGCCATTTGGTATGTCCGCAAAGCGCGCATCATCACCAACAGTCACAAGCTAACAAACACAGTATTTGGCAGTATAGCGCACCCCTTCGATCCCGAGAATAAGCCCTCAGACTGTCCTCCAGATCACACCCACAGGTGGGAGATATTCGTCAAGGGAGTGAACGGCGAAGACATCTCCTACTGGCTAAAGAAAGTCCAATTCAAGCTGCACGAGACATACGCCCATAATGTGCGCTCGATCGAGCAGGCGCCCTTTAGAGTTTCCGAAACTGGCTGGGGTGAATTCGAAATTCAGATCAAGCTCTACTTTGTGGCCGAGTCAAACGAAAAGCCGCAAACCCTGTGGCATAGTCTGAAGCTACACCCTTACGGCCCAGATGCGGAGGGAATGAAAGAACGTCGGGAAAGTGTGATCAGCCAGAACTACGAAGAGATCATTTTCAATGAGCCCGTTGAGCCGTTCTACGAGATCCTTACCGGAAGCTTTGCGGGTGGTCAGCCTGCCAAGAGCAAGGGAAAGAATACCAAGCAGATTGGGAACGGCAGGACAGCGGATATTCCGATGAGTGATGCGCCCGGGAACCCATACAGTCGGATGACCGAGAGGAAAGAGCTTGATCGCATGGCCGAGGCCACTCAGACAGTTGAACAAATGATCAGGGAAGAGAAGGAACGCTTGGTTGAGAGGGAGAAGTATCTGGCCCAGCTGCGAGAGAGTGAGGGTGTGCCAGCCAACATGAAGAAGCGGTGATTGCTTCAGGCTTTTTTTTAGCCAAAGACCACACAGCCCATTGCCGTGTGGTTGACTGTTGACTTTTGAGCACCCCGTTAGAATGTGCCTGACCAACAACCCTAATTACCCCGGTTCAAATGTTCCTCGGTGCTGGGACCTTTTGGAGTGGCTTTACGGCTCCGAACAGTCGAAGTTCGTGTCTTTACGCTGATAATCGCCTGGCCACAAGATCCAGCCTGTCTGTTTCCACCCAATTCATCACAACTATTGCATTGTATGCCAGCTACAACCAAAAGAGGCTCGTATATGTGCATCATCACATGTTGTGCCTATCAATCACATGGAGCCCTTTTCTCATTACTGTGAGGTGGAACGTTGCAGACCATGCTTCAGGGAATCCTGTGGATGATGCATTGGGGATTCTATTCAAACCATATTCATACCAAGTTTGCAAGAAGCTTAGCTCGGGTGTCTGCCACCTACCTCGGAAAGCGAAATCCCACAAGGATACAGTCCTATCGCTGTTGATGTGCCTCCAGGTCTCCAGATGTATTCTATGCTAGTTCGTGATATGATTCTCTGTTTAGGAAGGTCATTTTGAACAATAGTATTAATGGCAATCAACCAATAACAATTACAATATGAAAAGACAAGTCTATATCACAAAATATTCGTTCAATCATCGCATGTCCATCTGAACCTGAACACCTAGCACTTGGCATCTTGAACCGTATCTCTGGTCTTTTTCAGGAAGGGTATCAAATCCGTGCCACCAGTTCCAGCAAGCTTAGTCTTCGCGCCTGCTTCTTTCATTTGAGAGCTGGCCGTGGCTAGATTCATTGTGTCTTTCCCCTGTTCAACTGGATTCGGCTGCCTCGACGCCATGATAATGTATCGGGTGACCATCTGGATGTGTGTATCACGGAAAGCCTTGAGCTCATTCACAGTGGCGTTGTATGCATCCTTAAGCGACTGAACCGGCGAGTCCAGTATAAACGAACGAACATTAGCTCGATCAGATAGCTCTTCAAGGAAGCGTCTATGCGGACCAGGCATGTAGTCTCGCATTTGCTGTATTTGGTGTCAATGTTTATTCACGCATGTCTAGAAGATAAACACCGAAGTCCAATATCCCGTGATGGCCTTACCTGAATAAAACTCGGCCCACAAGCCTGCTTCCCATCTGTCGCAGAGTGCTTAATACCAAGGAAAATATCAAGTGCTTGAATCAGCGAGCTCTGTGCATTACTCCCACCACTCAACTGGAGCCAATTTCCCGGTATTTCCACTCCATCACTATCACCCACATCATAATACACGCCATTGGGAAGACCAGCATGACCCATATTCTTACTGCCAGCCAAGAATGGCCGAAGCTGGTGGAAGAAGACAGCCGGCTTGTTGTGCTCGTACATCCTTTTTAGAGTCAATGTGAGGTCGCACAAACCGTCGGCGAACCTGCACAAGAGGGCAGTGAGTAGGTCTACGTCATTGGCAGTAACTGCCTTGAAAGCGTCTCGCATCAAGGACATGAGCTTGATGCCTTTGGCTTCAACGGCGACAGAGATCACCATAAACCATTCCTCATCTTTTGTGCCGGTAAAGGAGGTTTGAACGTGGAGGTTGTCTGGGTCTGTGATGTCTGCTTCTGGGTGGGAAGGTAGGAAGTTCCATAGTGTGAGGCCGGCGTAGGTAGCGCAGGCAGGAAGCTCGAGGTGGGCTGATATCTCAAGGAAGGGTTTTGAGACTGAGGGGGGCAGTCTCTGTTGTCTGGATGTTAGGAACATTTTTGTTTTGGACGGAAAGGAAAGAGGGTGCGAGGGTGTTTACGTCTTTTGGGGTTTCCCCTCCCCAGATATAGGCATGGGCGAGATATCCCATAATAACACATGCTCTTCGCCATTCTGGTTCGGTCTGAAGATGCTCAGTTGTGCAGACGGGCATATTATCGATTTTCTCGCGGATTTGGCTTGTTTGGATGAGGATTGGGAGTTGGCTGGCTATATCCTCCCAGGACGCGTAATAAGGGTTTGAGATTCTGGCTAGGGGAAGGCTATCTGAGAGAAAGCCTTGCTCGGCATAATTCTCGAAAAGATCATTGAGGACAGCATCTGTTGATTGCAACATTGTGGATGATGGATTGTGGATCGTGGAGTAGTGTTCGTTCGGGAGGAAGAACAACTTCTGGCGTGGGTGTGAACAAAAAGACAAAGGGGAAACACAGCCTTTGAGATTTATAGTGCAACAATAGTTTTAGTGCTATATGGCTTCATTATTGAAATATCTTACTGCATCGGCTTGTGTCGGGGCCCATTTAGTCAAGATATCTATACAACCCGGAAGATATCCCGGATCTATATCCGTCTTCCGTCTCCGATTAAATTAATCAAGGAAACACATCCTTTTTGAGTTCGATGTTGCGGTCAAGACTTGAAGACGTGGGTTCTGTTTGCTATCAAACATTTTGATTGCTGTTCTTTGCTAACTGGTCTACAGTCTGCATAGTAGACAAGCCATCTGTAAATATTGATGGCGTTATGATGAATGTAATGCATGTAATGCATGTAATGCATGAGAGATATAGTAGATAGCCTATGAGAAGGCAATATATATATTATGTTATACATCGGTGAGATCATGAAATAACAAGAGTAATAAAGGGCAATGATAGCCATGATGGTCAACCACTTAGAAAGTAGTATAGAGACGGATCGGGGAGACGGAGGCGGAACAAGATCCGGGTTGGAATTGTTGCATCTCCGTTGAATGTCCCTGGTCTCCGATTCGGCACTTTCCTTATAAAAAGAAAAGTCCATTTCCCGATTATCATCTTCCTAACTCATTCGAAGTTGCTTATAAACTCAAATCCCTGCTTGACTTACTATACCATACATACCATACATATTCGACACATCTCATAACATTTATCACCAATATGACGGGCACCAAGGTTTCTAAGCCAGTATTCCCTGCAGAGGCATCATCACAAGAGTATGCCACATCTCTGGACGCAGCGGATCATCTGCGTGAATTCCGCGACCAGTTTATTATTCCCTCCAAGGCGAATCTTCTGACAAAGAAGCTGGCGAAGCCAGGTAAGAACGATATCCCCGCGGAGACGCGAAATATAGTTTGAATATGGCTAACAAGCCCATGTAGGTCTCTCGTCAGAGCCAAGTACTTACTTTTGCGGTAACTCATTGGGTATTCAGCCCAAGGCCGTGTCGAAGTATATGGAAGCCCAGTTGGATACTTGGTCCTCTATCGGTGTCTGTGGACACTTTACCGACCTTGAAGGTTCACCATTGAAACAGTGGCAGCTACTGTCTGAACAGGCAGCTGCTTCAATGTCCCGCATTGTCGGGGCTGCGCCTGAAGAAGTTGCGGCCATGGGAACCTTGACTACCAATCTCCACCTGTTGCTTGCAAGCTTCTACAAGCCGACTGAGACCAAGAGGAAGATTCTCATGGATTGGAAGGCATTCCCTAGTGACCATGTAAGTTTACAATCTACAATGGAAATGATTGACTCGGGATCAACATTGATAATCAACAACCTAACACGTTTATAGTATGCAATCGAATCACAAATTGCCTGGCATGACCTAGATGCAAATGAGAACATGATTCTCATTGGCCCGGATGAGGGACAACACGAAGTCTCAACAGAGAAAATCCTGTCCTACATCGACGAGCATGCTGAAACTGCAGCGCTGCTTCTTCTTCCCGGTATCCAATACTACACCGGACAGCTATTTGACATCCCCACAATCACCAAGTACGCCCAATCAAAGAACCTCATCGTTGGATGGGACCTAGCACACGCGTATGGAAACGTGGAAGTGAAGTTGCACGACTGGAATGTCGACTTCGCAGTTTGGTGCACGTACAAGTACGGCAATGCTGGGCCCGGCGCGATAGGCGGTCTTTTCGTGCACGAGAGACACGGTCAGGTTGATTATAGTGCTGGATCAGATGCTCCCCAGTTCCGCCACCGCCTGACAGGATGGTATGGTGGTGACCGGTCGGTGAGATTTAAGATGGACAACAGTCAGTTTCTTCGTAATCGTGTCGCGCGATGCATAACCTAGCATATGCTAACCACCAGCAGAGTTCAAGCCTATTCCCGGAGCTGGAGGCTTCCAGGTCTCCAACCCTTCAGTCATTGATCTAACTTGTCTTTGTGCGGCTTTGTCCGTCTTTGATCAGACCTCCATGGCCGATTTACGCCAAAAGTCATTGAAGCTGACGGCATATTTGGAGTTCCTGCTTCTGAAGGAGACCGACGAGAAGACCCGTCCGTTTGATATTATCACTCCATCAGATCCCCATGCTCGAGGTGCTCAGCTAAGTGTTTTGCTCAAGCCTGGCTTGCTGCACAAGGTATCAGAACGACTACAGAATGCAGGTATCATTTGCGACAAGCGGGAGCCGGGCGTTGTTCGTGTGGCCCCGGTGCCGTTGTACAACACTTTCTCCGAGGTGTTCAACTTTGTCAAGGAATTCAAGGGCGCTTTGGCCTCATCGTAGTTTATAAATAATATTATGAAGACAAATGTGGATAAACATCGAGTACGATAATACAATGCACAGTGAATAATACGCCGTGGGCCTTTCATGGCTGTTCAATCTCAGGATGTCAGACAAGATAGAGAGTTAAAGATACACGGGGGGGGTTGAAGCCTGCCGTTGCAAGCCCTTAGAAATTCCCAACGCTTTCCCAGTTATCACCACTGCGCAGGAACTCCTGCCCCTGAGAAAAGAAATTGGCAGCAAGGATAGAGAACTCATCATTAGACATCGTCATATTCTGCGGGGAGGGCAAAGGGTTTGCTGTGTAGTCCTGGTTAGGAAAGGCGGTATTGGCAGTAAACGACTGAGACCGAAGATTTGGTGTACCTTGATCCTGGACACTCAATCGGAATGGCGGAGGCAAAGGAGATGTCTGAGATACTTCTGTGCCCGCAGAAGATGAACCGACATAAAGTGACTCCCCGAATAGACGCCGAGCAGAGTCTGTGTCGCTGTTGGATGAGTATTCGAGGATTTCCCAGAATCGGGACAAGTCGATTAGGAGGCTTTGGTTTTGCGCGCCTGGGTCTGGTTGGTAGGTTGCCGAGACTGCGTCTTCTAGTCGCTGTAACCTATGTGCCTGTTGAACGTGGTTAGATTGTTTGTTTTACCCGAGATATAGAAGATGGAGGTTCATACCAGTCGAGCCATGTGCGGCCACCTTTCTCCCATGGTTTGCACAAACTTGACACACTTGGCGAATCTTTCACGTTTGTGTTCTCTGATAGTCAAATCATCCGTGAAACTGAGTTGCAGCTCGATTGTAGCGACAACGGCGGCGCTATAGCCTAGCAACGGATCTGATACTAGAAATGACTTTTCTTCAAAGCAATTGATGAAGTGAATGATCCAGGTTGTATGCGAAGAGATCAAGTCCGAGGTATGTTGCAAGAAGATCTCTGGGATAGTACTCCGGAAATTCCGAAGACTGAGCGAGAGAAGCAGTGGATGATTGAGTAGACACAGGCTGGTATGATACATGAATTGATTCAGAAACCACGGGCCCCAATATTCACGATGTGTCTGTAATTCCTCGAGAGTGCGTTCACCGAGGTTGGCTGGCTTGAACCGATGAAGATATGGCATGCGAGTCTCGAGGTCCATTTGTAAAGCGAGAATTTTCGAGTATTCGGAATGAGGAGACCATGGTGGGACATTGCTTGGACGTCCGTGAAGGCGCACGTATCGTGCTGTCCTTGCGAACACTTCGCTCAGTACTACCACATATGCAATGATTCCCTCATCTTGCATGTCACTTCGCCGTATTTCGCCGGTGGAAGGTCCCGGAGAGAGGAAGCGAGGTGGTCGTGCCGGGCTTTGGGGATATGGAGGGCCTCCGGCTTGGGGTATGTCCGGGATCGGGAAGTCGCCGCCGTGTAGTCGTTTGAGAAGACATATACTCCAGAAGCAGCGTCTGCGCTCTTCGCGGACTATGACGCTGGTTGATGAGCGGGGCTCTTGTCCAAGATTAGCACATTGTGCAAGGTTCATTGCTAAGCTGCTGTGAATGCTGGAACGATGTGTATTGCCGTCTGGTAGATATTATTAGCTCATGTTTCAATGTAAATGTTGCAAGTGCTAGGCTCGTACTCGTGAAGTCGACCAAGCTTAGAATACATAGACATTGAAGCGTCGAAAGCTCCACTGGCCCTTCGGAGACTCTTTTCATAACAAGGCCCCGAGCAACCTCAGCATAGCTATTTACCAGGCTGGTGGAATCAGCTCTGTTGTGGTGAGCGTATGAGAAGCGAAAGGCAAGTGCTAATATAGCAAAGAGAAGCTCCGTCTCGCGTGTCTGTATAGTGGAGAGAAAGCTATCTCTGTAGAAAAGAGGCAAAGGCTGAGAGTCACAGTATTGCAAATACAGCTCTGCAATAGGAATAATCTCCTCCCATGGTGGCAATGTTATAGATGAGCTTGGCATCGAGAATGCCACAGATGGAATATGAGATTCTGTGGGTATTTGCGGCTCACTCCTCGAGCTGTAGCATGTCTCTACGAGTAAGTAATTGCCCGAATAGGGATGGTGAATGTTCTTACCCAATTACATCCAGAACCTCTCCCACTTTGCCTTCAAGGCTTCGCAATCTATCTTCCTATGATAAGATCAGTATTTGTATATAGCAGGTGGGGCTTGCATTGAGAGATAAAAGAAATGCTCACCAAACCCCGAGATGTTCGAGTGTCTGAATCGTTGGGCCTTGGGCTCAACTCAGGAAGTGGCCGACGCCTTTCATCAGCGTATAGACATTGTTGCCGTAGTCTGGCACATAAAGAACAGACCGGCTGCTCTCCGGGGCATTTAGCTTTCTTACGTCTGAGAGATTGGTTAACAGCTATCTTTTTAAACAATTCGAGGGGAATGGTACCTGCAAGGCTCACAGGCCTGACGAACCCGCTTGGTAGGTCTGTCTGAATAGGTGAAACTCTCGTCTTCCATTGTTATATCTGCGAGAGTCAAAAATCAGGACGCACGGGCCTCAATGAGGACAGTCATACTAGGAGCATGGATCGGGGGATGTTCCAAGACTCCAATTGACAGATTATCTCAAAATAAATAAATATTTTCAGTGCATGCTCATGCTTCAAGGGGTATACGGATCTGAACGAGCAAAGCCGTATATTATGGCCTAGAGCCAAGAGTTACTAGTTAGCTCGTGAAATTGGCCAGTGGATATTCCGAGGCTGTGAAACAGCTGAGTCATCAAATGTAAAGCACGAGGCGTCAATTCCGCGTGCTCTAGATATATATAAATGAAGATATACATTCGAAACTGTAAATATGAACTTTTCCAAGACAATGCTGACTGTGATCACTGCTATGTTTGAGACTTTCAGAGTCTGTAGATGGAGTATCAAACCATCGGACATAGACTACATATGCATATGGCTACCGCGGAAGGTAGAGTACAAAGCTCTGTAAAAGGATATCGAAGATCAGACGTCCCCCCCGTGTATGTCTGATGACCAACCTTGGAATAAGTAGCCCAGACAAGTCATGCGCCATCCATTTCGAACCTCGCCAAATAAGTTATCTCTCAAATGTCGTAATATGAGCAATGGTGAACTTAATGCTTGGAAAGTTACCGCCACTTAGACGCTTAGCAGGTCTGCTCGGCTTCAGCTTGTTGCGAGTCATAACGCAACCGTCTTTATTTTATCAAAAACAGTATAACCAACTTGGAGCGAGGGATCCAAAAAAGGTACTTCTGTGGGACCAGGGAAACGATATATGGCAGCATCTCTTGGATTGGCGCTTGAATTGATGATATGTACAGCTCCAAATCTGCGTGGCTGCCAACCCATCTAACTCCTCCCTGGAGTAGAAATACACCATACAAAAAACAACCGACCGCAGCTTGGCTAACCAACGGAACTGGAAATGGCATCATTTATTTCCGCCAGAATAAGTATTGAGACCTATAATTTAGATCCAAGTCTTGTGGCCCTGTGTAAAGAAGTCAGCATGTGAACGTATTGAGTCGGTTACTCGTGCTTCTCGTCGGGGTATGAGAGGTAGCGAGTGGGGCGAAACTAACGAGAACCATGCGGCACATGGCGTAGGTGGTAGCTATTGTCAATTAGTTTTCTATCCTCAACTGGACCTCGTATCGGAAGATGGGTCCACTCACCAGCACCGAGGCCGTAGACCGAGAGGAGATAGGGGTACATGATGTAACCGGAGCGGGAGGTCTGCAAGACAATTATATTGTCAGTTTCTTGTTCTGTCCGAAGCTCAATTGAGGGCATATGTGCCCCTTCCGGGGTGTACTGACCTTCCACCATTGGCGCTTGCCATCGTGGTTCTGGAAGAGACGCTGGTAGTAGGGCACACGGTTCTCACGGAACACGAAGCTAAACGGAGCCAATCAGTTAGTATAACTCGTGGTAATATGGCGGGATGGCAGGTCCCCGCTGCCGCGTCAATCGCAATTGGACCCCGAAGATCGCGGGAGGAAATTCGATGGGCGCACTCTCATGATCGGGTTTGTGCGCGGGGGATTTATGCAGCGATTCGAAGGGAAGACGTACCCAGCCATGCGGGAGCTAGTAGCACGGAACATTTTCGCGGTTGTAAGCAAAGAAGGAGCGGGGATGTGAGGTACGACGTGGGCAAGATGGGGATGTGAAGTTGGTCCCGGAATGAGCTGGATATCGTGTCACGTGCCGAGCATCACCTGATCGAATCAGACGTTGTATCTGGTCATCATCCCAAAAGGGAAAAGCGCCAGAAAAGTCCCCAGACGCGTATTAACTTTTGAATATTCGGCAGCGAAGCCTTTGGATTGACCTGGGGAGCTTGAAGAAGGATGTTTGGCGTCGAGAATTTGCTTTCCCGACCTTCCTTTCTTAACCACTCATGCGCCCGGCGCTTCTGCGACTGTTGAAGAGGCCGTCCGCCGTCTCGATCCTTGACACACTCACAGCATCACCGGTCGGAATAGAGCAACTGGAGTTCAGGTACAGGTGTCTACGATGTCACTCGCGAAGCGCCACACAAGAAACACTCGAGGAACCCGACAATAACTCGACCCGGCATCAGCTTGAGGATCCATGCCGAGGGAAACGGCCATTCAGCTTTCCCATCTACGACATTGAGGCCTCGAACGAACCAAATACCCTTGAGCCCACGCCTCTCGTCGAGAGTCAAACGAATGATAACACGACACAATGCCCTACCAAACTTCTGTCTCTCCGACCGGACAAGCTTGAATTCGAATCGGACGTCGGACACCTCAACAACATTGGAACGCGATTAGTGGATAATCCGGAACATCGAAATAATTTTGATCTGTGGGAGGAGCTTCTTCGATACCGTCAGCGGCACTACGGTGGCAATGGCACGCTAGACATATGGGAAGGGTTGAGGGTTCGAGTGGATGGTGTAAGGCTTCCAGTTGCAGGAGAGCAAGCGGATTTCTTTTGGCAGAGCTTTGTGGATATGGGACTGAGGCGAGAGCTTTTTCTAAAGGAGGTTCTTGACTATGCTGTCATTATACGGGAACAGCAAGGCAGCCGATGGCCCCAGCTATATGAGCGCGTGGTGGGTGGACTTCTTGAGCAGGGCCTGACGAGGCGTGCGGTCGAATGGCACAAGAAACTTCAAAGTTCCCATCTAGCCAGCGCAAGTGATGTGCTGAAAATCCTTCCATCGGCGATCCGTTCTTCGTCTCTTCCGGCTGGCACGGAATTTGCGACTATGGCTGATCTTGAACGGTCGTCCTTGTCGCCGGGATTGCAGGCATTTCAAGCCATATGCTCCACGACACCCGACCATAACTTTTATGGTCCTGTCATTGCGATGCTCATGCAGCAAGGCCACGGCGAGGCGGCCATCTTAATGCATCATTTCCTTGCTCAACGTCAGGATCACCCACAGAGCCCCGACGAGATACAGCCATTGCTGGAATATGTTGAGAAATTTGGGCTACGGAAAGAGTTTAATCGGCTCCGTGGCTATGTCAAAAAGCGATTTGATACCGAAGCTTCGATTGATCAACCTGGCCCAATAGATACAGCCCCGAAATCCAAAGAGAAGGGATCGCAAGACGAAAAACCCTTCAAAGATGACATTGGTGCTAAGCTGTTTGCCACTCGTGCTCTCAATTTCGATATGATCGTTGGTGGCCTGAAGATGCTCGGTGTATCAGAGATCGGCCACCGGACATTGCGCGAACTAGCCACGAGAGCTCACGGCAACCAAGATCTTCTGGATAAGCTTAAAATACTTAAGCAGTCTGGCATTTCTATAGGAAGCACCGTCTTCTCGCGCTTAGTTCAAAAACTTGCAATCCAAAACCGCGACATTCTTCTGTCCGACATCCTCCGCAGCGATCAGCATTCTGACACTCTCGAAGACAAGCGTATGCAGGAGTCAATGTTGGTATCTTACTACATGGCCCGGGATTGGCGATTGTACAATATGACTCTAGCGGTGTTGATGGAACTATACCCGGATGCACCAGACCTCTACGACATCCATTTTCGAAAGCATATCGCGGCCTGGGAATTGAGCGCGGCGTCTAAGGTCGCCGATGAGCTAGTCCTTTGTGGCCGTACATTGGGCGAGGACAGTGTGGATTTCATGGCCGAGCAGATCCTCACCCCCGGCGAATGAACCATCGTCCGCCACCGGGTCAACGCCTGTCTGCCGTGGACGAAGTGATTTTCATCTTCAAGATTCTAAAGCGCGTGGTTCCCGCGGGAGGGTATGTCAGTGCTGCATTTTGGATTGAGATGCTCAAACGTCTCGGCATGGCAGATGCATGGGCAGACTGGGATAAACTCCGAGATTGCTGTCAGTGGCTCGTTCGTCAATACGCCGAAAGCCCTGGGCAGAAGAAGAAGCCTTGGGCTGATTTTCCATCCCCCAAACCGTCTCTTGATCCCATCCAGCAGGCTAACGGTCGCGATCGGCGGATGCTCGACTTAGTATTTAACCCACAAATGCAAGCCGCCATCGTCTCCTGGGGCTTCATGTTCCGAGTATTGGACACCACCGCATCGAAATTTGCGATCGCCCCGCCTAACTCCCAAACAGACGACAAGCTCATTCCATGGGTACGGGGACTTATTCTACTTCGCGAGCTGGAACAATCCGGTCTTCGTCTTGACAAGCGATTGATCTCACAGGCAGTTCGCCACCGGCTGGCTATGCTCTATAGCCACCATGTTCTGTCGGCGCGGCGTATGAACCGCATGCTACGGCGGCGGAACCCGTATCCTCTACAGCAAGTGTTGAACGATGTGTTCCAGGCCTGGGGCGACCGATCTCTCTTTGATGGGATGGAAAAGAACTTGGAGCAGTTGGTGAATCCGCCACGAGCGAGCAGAACGAAGCGACGCGCTCCGGGTATACGTTTGTCGCTTAAAGGACTATGAGTCCATGTATATTAGCAAAAATATGTAAATAATTGATCATAATACCTGTATACGTATACTTTTCCCCGCAGTGATCGTCAATCAATAACAGTTCATCAACTCGTATAATACGGAGGATGCCTAGAAGAACTGGGCTATGTCACAAATCAATAGGCCAATGGCGGTGCAGTTGTCGATCCACCAGATCTAAGAATAGTTGAGAGGGCAACGCGGCCTTGTAAACAATTTGTTATTTGAGCCTCTTGTGTTCTCCTTTTCTTTTTGTTTCTGATATTTCTGATGTTTCTGATTTATATTTGATCTTAATAAAGAGTACATTGTTACATCTCATACTTCATCTGTTTATAACCATGCGAGTATTCAACCTCCTGGCGTTGTTGCCTGTGGTCCTTGCGAACCCTTTGGTCCAAAAGCGTACGACAGCATGCAACAACTCTCCTGATCTCTGCTCCAAGTCCTATGGAGCAATTACACACCTAGGCGCCCACGACAGTCCCTTTGTGCGCGACAGTGAAAGTGGCAACTCGCTAGCTGCCAACCAGTACTACGACACTCCAACACAACTATCAGCCGGTGTCCGACTAGTAACAGCCCAAGTCCACAAGAGCAACTCCCAATGGCGTCTATGCCATTCCAGTTGCGACCTGCTCGATGCGGGGTTGTTGAGTGATTGGCTGGCGGATATCAAGACGTGGTTGGATGACAATCCAAATGAGGGTGAGTTAGTTCCGCAAGGGTGTTTAGAAAGACAATACTAATCGTCCGTCCCCAAACAGTGGTCACAATCCTGCTAGTCAACTCCGACGATGCTACCGCCTCCGATCTCAACACCGAATTCACAACAGCCAACATCACCGACTACGCCTACGAGCCTACCACCCAAGGCACCGCACCAACCACCTGGCCAACCCTCCAAACCATGATCGACGACGGCAAGCGGCTGGTCGTCTTCGTGGCTTCCATAGAAACCAGCACCAGCCACCCCTACCTGATGTCCGAATGGAGCTACATCTGGGAGAATCCATACGACGTAGCCTCCGCATCGAACTTCACATGCGAAGTGGACCGACCGGCAACATACAAGGGTAACAGCGCATCCGCACTATCGGCCAACCTCCTCCCATTGATGAACCACTTCCTGTACTCGAACAACCTCGCAATTCTGGATGTGCAGTACCCGAACTCCAGCTACGTGAGCACAACGAATGCCGCGTCCGGTGGAACGGGTAATCTGGGCACTGCGGCGACAACCTGTAAGAAGGCGTGGAATGGACGACAGCCGACTTTTATCATGGTTGATTTCTTCAACCGCGGTCCGGCGATTGATACCGTTGATAACTTGAATAATGTTACCAATGCGGTTGGTCGTAAGTCTGTCTCGGCGTCTTCGACTAGCGATGCCTCGTCGACGAGTAATGTGTTCAAGGCGCTTGTTGAACTTGCGGCATCGGCTAGGTCGGGGACGTCGGTGTCGATGGGGAATTGGATTTGGACTGGTGGGAACTGGGGTAATCTGCTCGGTGGGGGGATTTCTTTCTGAACTGGATGGGTTGGCCTCCGTATCTCATGTTTTGTTTTTATTTTTTTTTATTTTTGGAGCGTTTGGACGTTGGTTCTTGGATATCCTTTTGGGTCCTGCGGTATGGGGCTGTGCCCTGACTGGACGGTGGACGGTTGCATAGTGCAGGGATATAGGGTATTTGCATTCGAGGGCAAGGCGTTTTGGATTAGAATTGGGATGGGATAGGATTCCCCAGAAGATCTAGTCAAATAGGTTTCTACGAATGGAATGATTCAAAGTCAATTGTCTGTTGTTTTCGGCTTTGGAGTTGAACTCCTTCTCGACTCTACTTCTTTCCCAATATCTCCTGCACCTTGGTGACCTTATCCTCAAAGGACTGCACTTTATCAGTCCTAATATGAACGATTAGCAAGAAGAAATGGATTACGCAAGATAAGATGAGCAAGGAGGATAGGATACCTAGTTCCAACTCGAACATCAGTATGAATCCGAACAACGCCCTTCTGATGAATAATCGTATGCGCCTGTCCGATAACCTGATGAACCCGGTCCCAGGAGCCTTCTACAAAAACAAAAAGAGTCAGTAAATGTAGAAATAGTGTCACACAGGCCTGTCAACTCTCAGCTCTCAGCTCCCTCTCTCTCCTTATCTCCTGTGATTTCAGTTTCAGCTGCATGGACAGATACAGCCCACAGTTGGTGGAGATGAGGGGAACGAGTTCCACATAGATAGGAACCAGAACCGGAGTTGGAACTGCGGAGGTGACCGAGGTATACTATATGGTACTATAAAAATACTACATAGTGTAGTATAATAGTTATATAGTATTATAGTCTTGCGATAGGTACTCCGTACGTACCGAGGGTTGTGCCTGCGGAATGCATGACATACTTCAAGCCGCAGGTTTCAACCAGTCGCTGGATGTCGGCGACTTGGTCTGCGACTGAAGGCGAAGAGGTGCCAATCTGGGGTTATGCTGTTAGTTGTGGAGGTAGGAGGAAGCATGTGGCTTGTGTGTACGGGTTGCTTACCGGGACCAGGCAGAAATCGACGACACAGTGGGCGGGGGTTTGCGATGTTGGCCATTTTGTAGATTGGATGTGAATAGAATATTGGTGTTATATTGGGAGACGGGGAGATGGGGAGAGGGGGAGATCAGAGATATAAAATCGAATGTTGGGATGAGATGAGGATGTGGTCAGTGTGACAACGCCATATCCGCAGGGCTGAACATTGACCTTTTTACGACATGTTGACTCATTTCATTATTTACTATATAACTAGTTATATTATATATATTATATACTACTATATATAGTACTATATATACTATATATACTATAGTACCCTCGAGCCTCCAATTCATCTCAACATCTCACATCTGCATAGTCTCCTGCATCTCTACAGTTTAAGAGAAATTTGCTGACCGCCTCATCTGGTTTTGGTTCTTCTCCTAATCCAAGGGATTTCCAATATTTATATATATATATATATATATATATATATCTTGATAGAGATCTTCTATTCTATGATTTTCCTCTTTTACCTCCTTTAGTATGATCGACCCCGGGGGTACGCCACGGGTTCCTCTTTAAGTCCCCACAACTAAACCCTTGGATTTTCTTAAAAAGTGAATGTCGGGCTTCTTTGTCCGGATTCCCCGTCTTTTTTTCTCGAAGTCTTCTCCTTTCGGTTCATCCGTTAAGAGCTTTGTGTGTTCTTAATGCTCTTATTACTTGAATACTGGAATACTGAGATCTTCTCTGATTGGATCTCCCGACCTTGGAAGTGTGATCCGGCTGAACTCGGTTTAGCCCCCTTTGGATCTTGAGCCTCTCACCACTCTGGTATATGCATAGTCCACTACGGAGTAAAGCCCATATTGTTTCTACATTCTCAACTTTTCCCACCTTGGATTCCAGTCAATACACATTCTCATCGGTGGCGGGGAGAACTAAATTGTTCAGCCACGTCATGATCACACAGATAATTTGGATTTCCACCCCCAACGCTCATCCCTCTAACGGATGACCAAACCCAATCTACTCGAACTCCCCTCGGGGGTTCAGCTCGTCTATCTCGCTGAAGGAGGAGCAAATGTGATTTATCGATTTGTTCGGATTCCAGTCGCCAAAAAAGACACCAAAAGGCCACTATCTCCACCTGCACACGACCCGGATCATTGCCACCTACCAACCCAACTCGAGGGGAAATTACTCCGACTCCGCAAAGAAACCGCGGCCGACATCTCGTACACAGAGATTGTACGCAACTTCAACACTATCATCCGACCGTTATTCAACCCGGAAGAACTAGTCGACCAAACCCTTGTCAGACTCCCAGAGGGTCTTCTCACCAGCTGCAACGAGCAACTCCGCACCGCTGAACTAAACGGTGCGCGTCCCAAGAAACGCCATGGCAGCTATCTCTGTCTACATGAGCCGTTTGGCCTGCTCATCACCGACATGACTACGGCCGGAGACCCAGGCGCCATCCTAGCCGAGCTGAAACCAAAATGGCTCAACCAGTCGCCATCAGCGCCCGCGTCAGCACAGCGATGTCGGACGTGTGCGCTGAGGGAGATGAAAAACCGAGAGTCGCAACTCCAGGGTCTGAAAGCGCAGCGGTCGTTCTGCCCGCTGGATCTGATGTCGGAGCAGTATGAGAATGTGCTGCGGGCGACGGGGCTGATCAAGGGGTGCAAGGATCGATCGCGACTGGCTCGTATTTTGTATCGGAACCCGACACTACAGAGACTGCAGTCGTTACAGAAGACTGAGAGGGATGTAGGGTTGCAGGGTCCGTCTGCGCAGTCCCGGGAGATGTCGCTTGCGATGACATTGCGGGACTGTACGATGTTTATCAAGGTGAGTTTCATGCTGCAAAATTGGGGGTTTTCCTAGTTAACATCAATTGAATATTAACCTCCCCGCAGATCCCACATGACGAAAAATCACCTGTTGAAATCCGCCTTGGTGACCTCGACCTTAAGACTGGCGCCGGCGGGAAAGCTGCATACTGGCGAGACCTGGAAACACGGCTGATTGACAAGGGCTGGTATCGGGGAAGCAATATCAGTCAAGATTCGGGCGACTGCGCTTTGCACAGCCCGCGAAGACCCCTCTCAGTCTCATTTGGCATGAGACTATATCGACCTCGTCTGGAATGGGGACTCGTGTTATTGATGCATTGCAGTTTTTTTCTTTTTTTTTTTTCTTTTTTGGTTATTTGAGCATAAGACGATGGATGTCTTGAGTGTGATTGGTGTGACTCTGGCTTGTATAGTATTTTGACCTTTATGATTTTATTTTTGGGTGGCCTTTTTGTTGTTTCACGGGTTGGTTTTGGGCAAGGGTGGATTTTTGATATTATTCTTTAATGACTGCACGTTTCTTCGAATATGAAATATTAAGAAAGAAAACATTTGGTATCAGTCGACAGGAGTCATGTAGGCGCTACCCAACAAGCCTCCAAGCTATCCCAAGCTATCCCAAGCTAGCACTAGTTAGTCTATAAAATGGATACTTATTCGACCGGAATCGGCATACGATAGGAACGTTTCAATTAATATTCACATAAAAGGTGAGACTTGAATCGAGGGATCTGGAAAATGGCCACTCCACGCACACGTCGTCGACTCCGCTCATATCCTCTCAAACAAGGATGCCGGCGATATCCCGAAAGTGTTCGAAGTTAGGCTTACGAGCAGCCTCTTTAGCATGCCGATCCGCCTTCTTATTCAATTTCCGAGGAATACGCCAGAACTCAATGCGCATTCCTTGTTCATGCCACCGTTCAACCTCCCCAAGTAAACACAGCCAAAGGTCCTGATTCTTGACCGGCGTTCCCGCCTGCGTCATCCAGCCATTCCGCACCCATCTCTTGACCCATGTCGTGATACCCCTCACCACGTATTCGGAATCCGTAGCGATGACCAGAGAACGAAATCCCTCACCAACCCAGTGTCGAAACCGAGTAGCCGCAATAACAGCGCGGAGTTCAGCGCGGTTGCTTGTATGTCGGTGCTCAATGCCCGTGGGACCTTCTTTCTCGAGAGGGAAACTGGCATAGCCACGGCTTTGGGAGTTTCGGCCGGAACCCTTGAAAACAAAGCTACAACCGCCTCTTGGATTTGCGCCGCCGTTGTCTAGACATGCGCCATCTGTGTAGATCAGGAATTGGTTGTTCTCGCCGTTACGGCGGATGAACCGATCTACGGGCGGTATGGCGCTCTCAGTTGTGTCGAGAGCGAAAAGTGACTTGGGGGTGTCGTTTTGATTTGGGGGATTGAATTTTCGAGGGAAGATGCGCCCTCTGCCGACTCTGAGATCTGTGCGAGGAGCAGAGAAAGTGAGAGAAGGCCCGTGTCGACGACGCCGAGCCATGTTGGATGTGGCCTTTTTGAAATACAGGTTAGCTGGAAATTCAGAAAGGTTACTTTGTAAGCCCAGGGCATACCCAGGGCTCGATGTATGGTGTAGTAAGTTTTAGATGTTGAGGGTCCAAGGGAAAACTCACCAGGGAGAAGATGGGAAAAGATGGTGAAGGGAGGGGAGGATGAGAGGATGGAGATCTCCATGGGAATGAGATCTCATGAGACTTTGCTAGGACGTGAATTATGTGAAAGACAAACAAATTAGGAGATTTCTGGATATCACAGGGTCAGCGACGATTGTCTTTTAGTAGATAACTAGTTAGTTTCTTACCTGAAACATACTTCTCGACAAACAGGCCTATTCCAGCACGTTTGAGTCTGACCAAGAACTCACTTTCGATCTACCAGGTAGTCTGACTAGTTACCAGTGAAATGAAGGTGAAGTGAGGGTGACACGACGATGTATCAAATATGAAACATTGGAATTAACACCTATCTACGCGACAACGACATAGCCCAACCGAAAGAATCACAAGCAGAATATAATTACACCATTAACCTCGTTTTTTTCCTCTTCAATCTTCATTCAAGGTGCCAACACAAGATCGCCACTTCAATCGGCTCAACTAACGATTCATATACAGCGATGCCCTCAGCCTCTCATACCAGTTGAAGGGGCTCTCAACTCGAGATCGAGGATGTATGTAACAGCCCCACTCAACACGCTACCCAGTGGAAAGCATCCACCGATCCACCAGAGCTAGCGCTAGCGTTTGGCACCGGTGGTAGACTAGCAAAGGTATCTCAAAGCGGCAAGACGCTGGCGTGTGGCACCCCACTGGACGAGCTAGGTGTCTTGGAGGGAGTAATGTGTGGCACTGGGGTAGACACAACAGGTGTCGTTGAGGGGAAAGCAGTTGGCGTAGCTAGTCTCTTCACGAAGGTTGGGATGGGCGTGCTGGATGGGCCTGGGGTTTGGCTGGATGGGACCACTTGGCTGCTTGCTGGACCGAGGACATTGAGGAGGTCGAGAGGGGATTGAGCTGCGGCGTTGCTGCTCAGAGCCGTCAGGGTGGACAGGGTGAGGAGGATGTTGAAGTGCATTTTTGGTTGGTTTGTGTGGAGGGATGTTTGGTGGATGATGTCAAGTGAGGTTTTGGAGTTTGGTTGATGGAGAATATATGCTGGGAGTGTATGGGATAGGATATAAATATGGATAGGGGAGAGAGAGAGAGAGAGCAAGGAGGCGATCAGATTTGTATAGATCACATCGCTGTATGGTGGAAGCGGGAACTAGATGAAGATCATAGAAGATCAGTCTCAGCTCTGACATGTCAGGCCTGAAAGAGGCTGTGATAGGTTATAACTTTTGTTTTCGTGTGATAGGATTCGTATACTCCATAATTCGATATTGGTTATGCAGGAACAAGCATAGATTGAAGATCATTCCTGGTTTAAGCATGTACTTTTGTTTTGGCCCCTTGAGTTACTGAATATTTAAGCGTAGGAAGTAATCATGTTGTACTCCGTATGTGCTCCGTATATGAAGTAGATCGAATGCGTTTCAGGATGTGATGTTGGTCACACTTTAGCACTTGAGATAGGCGCTGTACTATATATGCAGCCATCAAAGTCAAAGAGTATATATAAAACAGTTGATTTCACCAATTATCCACGAATTACGCCTTTTTCAACCTTTTTCTTTGGCATATCTATGAAACTCAAAAAGGAGACCATTTAAAAAAGGCGTCAAAGACATCACAAGCATAAGCGGCTGCATATTCTTGTGATGCACCTTAGTAAAACCTATAATACCATAATAACTACGGAGTACACAATATACAACATAGAGTATAGGATATTACCCCTGGAGCCTGGAAGAACCAAGAGAAAATCCCCCCACTTCCTGATAAGCGTAGTCACACTTCATCCAACTTCTTCTTCTCCCCCCAAAACACCCCCAACTTTGTACAGTATATAAAATGGATCCCAAAGTCGGTGTCGGCGTCTTCGTTTTCAATGCTGCAGGCAAATTCGTCATTGGAAAGCGAAAGGGAAGTCTTGGCGCTGGTAGGTGTATCCAATACCCCCACACTCCCACATATGCAACAGACAAGCAATTATAAGGAATTATGAGCAAAGCTTACCGATTGTACTCTTGTAATTAAAGGCACATGGGGATTACCAGGTGGACACCTCGAGTTCGGTGAATCATTTGAGACCTGTGCGGCCCGTGAGACCCTCGAAGAAACAGGTCTCAAGATCGAGGATGTGCGATTCTTGAATGCCACGAATTCAATCATGAAGGCGGAGAATAAGCACTACATTACCATTTTCATGGGTGGCGTTTGTGAGGAGGGTATTGATCCTCAGGTATGATTGATATTTGCTTTTTTTTTGTGTTTTAAGTTTTGTTTATGCGAACTTGCTTTTTTGGTGGCATCTTTCATTGAATATGCCATACCGTGGCTGCTCACCCTGCAGGAGTGGAAACGGGATACATGGCTTACTTTTTGGTATGTTGTAGGTACTTGAGCTGGAGAAGTGCGAGGGGTGGGAATGGATTTCGTGGAATGAGTTGCGTGTGTACGGGGAGGAGGAGATGAAGGCTGGTGATGGGTTTGAGGGGAGAAGGTTGTTTTTGCCTCTTTTGGAATTGTTCAGACAGCGTCCCGATTTTCGGGTTTGAATTTTCTGCAGAATTGAATTTCCATTCAAGGAGCTAACAAAAACGCTGTATATTAGATCTGATTCTCCTGCTCTTTGCCTAAGAAATCAGATAATATACGCCATGCTTCATATTCTTTCATCCCCGATCATCTCCCGAACACAACCTTGGAAGTTTACCTTGGACATTTCCTTAACAGCAGTATCAAGTCAAGGAACGCGCGCACCATGACTTTCATCAGCAGCTCGCTTAACCCCCACTTGGAGGACAATCCTCGACATGTATGATCGCAATGCCTCTTGTAGCCACAGTGGGAAGGCTCTGAGCGACCCAACCACCGAAGAATGTCTAGGCACGATGGTCTGACCACTCTTCCGAGCAACAATATGTTCCACCACTACCCGAGAGACGTCCTTTGCATCCAGGAGTGGTTGACGGAAATCAGCTTGATATTTAGTGAAGCCATCGATCATGGGAGTCTGAACCCACGTAGGGTGAATGGTACTAGGTATTATCAGCATGATTTCCTATTGAAGCCCGGCTTTTCCCATACTAACCTCGTCCGCACATTCGGAGCCTTGTACCAATATTTCAACTCTTGCCGAAGACCCTCCTGGAAAGCAAGAGCGCTAGCTTTGGAACAAGCATAGTCCACCATATCGCCTAGAGTAACAAAGCTCGCCATGCTCGCTATTGTAAGGACATGGCCATGGTTCATACGGATCATAAACGGGAGGAATTCTTTCATGATGAGGAAATGAGAGATGATGTTGACTTCGAATGTCAGACGCAGTTTCTCCAGTGGCTTTTCGAGGATGGTTCCGTGTTGGAAAACACCAGCATTGTTCACGATAACAGTCGGATCGCCGTGTGAGTTTCTAATATCAGTGCCCGTTTCGGAAAGAGATTCGGCCGATGTTATGTCTGTTTGATAGAATGTGACGTTTTCTGGAAGCTCAAAGGTAGGCTGGTTGATATCGAGGATCACAACGCGGACTTTCTTGCGAGAAAGTTCTTCCATTATTTGTTTGCCGATGCCGCCACTGCCGCCGGTCAAGAGGACTAGCTCATTCGCTGGGATCCATGTCTCGCTGGCTTGGAAGTTGTTCATGACTCGCTCTGAGAGCTTTTCTTGAAGGTAGTAAAGGACGAAAGAGCCGATCACAACACCCAGCAACGACGTGGTGATCGGGACATTCAGGAGGTTGAACATGGCGCCAATCGAGAGACCCGATAGTCAGGCAAAGTATGAGTGGTCCTCGAGCAAATGTGGCCTAAAGAAGAGAAAGGAATAACAGTCAAGAGCAATTTTCTCGAATTCTCCTATCTAATGTGCCGGCTTGTTTGTAATAGAGAGTTATTTTATCCTAGAATCAGCCGTTATATTTCCGTGATATATTCATGCCGAGAGTGCTGCGTTGTACAGACCTTTGTCCCGGCCCCGGGTGTGGCTAGGCATAGGACCTTTTCAGCCGAACTCGAGTAAGCCATTAAGACTTGGTTGGATTAACCGAGATTACTATCGACTGAATAAGTTCTAAAGCATTGAGAATGAAGATCCAATGCGGCATGGATCCAAAGGGGGAAAAGGCTCATACATGCCAAGCTATGAACAAAGAAGAAAAGCGGAAGACAACAAAAGGTTTCGGGACTATCTCCCCGCACTCAGCTTAACAGGTGATTTATTCGAGTGAAAGTAGCTGGATCGTCTGTCTGAAGGCTTGGTCATGAGTGTATTATGCACCCCGGGACTGATATAAAATTCCCAAAACTAACTGGCAAGGGATTCCGCCTTCTAAGGGTTATGCAGCCTATCTTACTCAAGGTTCTGGAAATCTACTAGCGTTCAACTGACCAAAAGGATGGGCATTTTATTTCTTACGGAGGGTCACTTGCGAAACTCACTAGATATCACTGTTGAGATACTCTACGGGGATATCTTGGTCAGAGTAACACTATGTTTTATGGATACAGTTCTAATCGAAGGAGAGGAGAGAGAAAAGAAGAGTGTTGATTTTCAAAGAACAAATAGAAGCCATCTGATGCATATATATATATGTGGCCAGGAACCCAGTGCACGCCAGCAATCAAGAGGGCTTGTAACAGACGCACATTAATGTGCGAGAGACCTGGAGCAAATCAATAGGACCCGAGGTAAGGCTTTCAACTTTGCCACGAGGACGACGAATTTCGACTGTAGCCAGGCCGAGACTGGGTAGTGGTTTCGATATCGTAGGACCAACTATCAGGATGAGCATGGCGATATATACGAGCTTCAAGGCTAGGTAGGTTCACTTTTGTAGATTCTATCAAAGAATGAGGGACTTATAGGGATCCTGGCAGCTAATCAACAGCCATTATGGATAGTGGTTATAATATATGTGTATAGTAGATAGTAGTGTAACAGGATAATAGCAGGAAGGTTCATGAAGGAGGAGGATTCATTCTTTTATATCATGTGGCAGGTATAACTTTGGAAGTTTGCACAAAGCAATGGAATGTGCTAGAAAGGGTTAAAATGAAGTTGAGAGAGAAGATGAGGTTCTTAGATACCCGCCAAGCCGACACAAGAGCCGGAAACACCTTGGCATTTGCTTGAGTTGCTTGAGTTGCTTGACTTATACTTCAAAGAAAGTAATCAACTTGAACCGAAAACCCAGTCAGATACGATAACAGCAATAGTGGCAACCTATACAAATGTCAGTTGATCTATACACACCACAATCTCTTAAAGATTAGAATACTCACCAACGAAATATCCACCCCGGGCATTACAATGACATCCATAGCAGGTCGATACCCCTGCCTAGAACCTCTCATCAAAGCCAATTTCTCATTATGATGAATACTCTCCCGGACTTCAGCAACCTTCCTATCCCCATCAACAACATCAAAAAGCGCCAGCGCATTCCCATGTCGTTCAATATTCAAAGTAAGCATTTTCTCACCCCGACGCTTCCCCTCAAAAGCAGCTGCATTCTCAAACGAAAGGTCAAAATTCCCAAACGAAGTATTCCCCAGCGTCCAACGCGGAGCACCAGTAGCTATCGTCGCAGTATCACACCCAGGCAAGCTAACCGACCAATTATTCGTCCACGACCATTTCCGATGCAGCTCGAAGAGCGGTAGACCTGAATCATCACGGAACTCCCGGCACGACCGATCGGTGTATTTGCGACCGGTCACCGTAAACTGTGGCGTTCCATCTTCTTCGGTGATCTTATATGCGACGGCGGAGTGAGGGCTGCCGAATGGTCTGAGCACGAGGGTTGTCTTTACGCGTGCTATGTACTGGTTGCGGAAGGCGATTTCGCGGTCTGGTGATCGAAGGGTTTTGCGGGGTTTGGAGGTGAATGGGTGCGATAGTCTGGCGTTGGAATGGGAGATGTAGGACATGGTTGTTGGGGTGGCCGTGTTTATTTCAAAGGCGCTGGGATTATGCGGGGTGGCTCTTTATACCTCCACTGGGTTGCATGGTTGCATGAGTATGTATCTCTACCTATCCTTGCGGCATTTATCTCATCCAATGCCGGATGATCTCACTGCCTTGCTGAGCCACATCATGCCAAGGAATATCCATGAAGCTATCCCCCTCGGGGCATCAGCGGGGTAAGTGATGTGATGACTTGTGGCTGCATTTTGTCTTGAATGGTGTGTTGTGATTGATAGTATGAATTCAGCCACCTCTTATACCCCTCTTAAAAGTTAATCTCCTAATATTTAGACCAACACATCGAGAAATATCGAGATTGAGAGCAGTAAAGTATAGAAAACAACCTCGGGTATAAAACATCCATCCATGGATGTCCATTATTTGATGAGTCAGAAAGCCACGGCCCCAGGGCCCCGCAGGCCTCTAAGGCATCTTCAGTTAGGCAACCACCGTGTAACTACAACAGTTAACTAGTTAACTAGTTAGTTAACTAGTCAGTCACATCTCCATACTCCGTCCTGGTCAACACAATTATGGCTGGGAAATTCACCGTCAAATCTCTGGACCATCTGGTCCTGACTGTCCGCAACATCCCCAAAACCGTGGCATTCTATACAACCTATCTCGGAATGCGGCACGAGACTTTTACCTCACCAACTAACCAATCCATTCAGAGGTAACCCCTCTTTTTTTATAAACAACTTAGTTCAAAAGAAATTGACAAAACAGACATGCCCTTATCTTTGGCTCTCAGAAAATAAATCTCCACCAATCGGGCAAGGAATTCGAACCTAAAGCCCAGGATGCTATGCCAGGAAGTGCCGATTTGTGCTTTTTGACAGACGAGAACGTGGGAAAGGTCCTGGAGGTGTTCCAGAATGCCAGAGTTGAAGTATGAACACTCCCTTTTTCCCCTCTCGTAAATGGTATATGATAGAGACTGATCTCTACAGGTTCTGGAAGGCGCTAAGGTTGTAGAAAGAACCGGAGCCGTTGGGAAGATTCGCAGTGTATACGTGAGAGATCCTGATGGAAATCTTATTGAGTGAGCCTTGTTCATTTTCTCTTGGGGTATCAAGTTGACTAACCTCCGCTGCAGAGTGTCCAACTATGTTTGATGAACCCATCTGGACCTATAATCAGATACTTTCTTCTCTTTTGATGGATGTACCTCCCAACATTTGTCATAAATAGTAATGGGATGTGGTTTCTTTTCCCTTCACAGCTCGGACGGCCATCATGATCGATAAGCCGTAAGTGTACCCGAGTGAAGATTGAGTAAATCTTGGAAGAGACAGCTTTCACGAAGTACAGATTGTCGGACCATCTTAGAATTGATACATGCAACCCGATCAGACCTTAGCCCTCATTTTTGGTCCTGTTTCCACCACACGCGCAGTCACCAGAACCAATGCGCCCAGCAAAAAGGATAACCCGCCCCAAATCTGTGCTCCAATGTAGCCGTCTGCCTTGGCAATGAGAGCTCCACCTAGGGGTGGACCAGTCAGACAGGCAAAGCTGACAACCGTAAAGCCCATGCCGATGCGGACTCCGGTTTTGCTTAGGTCGGGCGTAAGACTAGAGAGTGTTGATGGCCAGAGGCCCTGCACACCATTGGAAAACATGCCATAGAGCACGGCAAAGACGTATAGGCCCGCAATCGAATGGACAGCAGCCCAGCAGAACATCATCACACTAGCAGCTAGGGTTAGGGGAATGATGGTATTAAGTGGTCCATACTTGATATCGGCCAAATAGGCAGGAATAAGACGACCTATGATTCCTGCTCCATTGGTTACAATGATCAAATTGCTCGACTCCGAGTGGGACATGCCGAGAGTGTTGCGAGCAAATGCACCAACGTAATAGAAGGCGAAGTATAAAGCCCAGAAATTCAGAAACATGCCCAGACAAAAAAGCACGTAGGTAGGTTCCTTAAACGCCTGCCATTCAATAAGGGCACCAGCCTTACGGGGGGGTAGTCGAGGCTTCAACAGAAGAACAGCAGGGATACTCGTAGCAAGCATGACAAACCCCAACACCCTAACCGTCCAACCGAATCCGATCGGGTCTAAAAGGACTTTGACCAAGCCGGGAAGAAGCATGCCTCCGGTTCCACTCCCAACCAGACAAAACGCCAGAGCAAACACCCTCCGCCCAGAGAAGTAGGTAGCCACCAGTCCCATGACGGGACAGAACTGTAGGCCACTGCCAAGGCCTGTGCAGATACCCTGAGCGAGGAATAGCTGCCAATAGGTTGTCGAGAGCGAGGTCATGAAGACCCCGAGGAGCTGCAGAAGGACCCCGGCATAAAAGACAGAGTGGAAGAAGCCTGCGTCTAGGGCGCGACCGGAGAATGTTCCAACAAAGAAAATGAGGAACACCTGTACCGATCCGACCCATGAAATAGCCGATGCTGAAACGCCAAGTTTGGATTCGTAGTATTCTTGGAATACGCCGAAGGTGACAATGTACCCCCAGGTGTTAAACACCACTAGATGGCCCATGATGGCTTGGGTCCATGCCTTTACTCCCCCGTCGGGGGGTAGTTCAATGGGGGAAGATTGTTGGTCGGACGAAGACTCGGGATCTTCATCGTGCTGTGTCATGGTGTGGGATGCAATAGCAATATGAATCATCCAATGTGTGCAAATGGTTGTTAGGGTGACTGAGAGAGACTATTTATGTCCCAATTGTGGTATTTGGAATGAGAAAATACAAATGAGTCAAATTGTCGGGTTTAAGAAGCGATTGTGACAACCCCTGCCACCCGCTATACCCGCTATATCCACGGGGGGCCGTTTTTGAATTGGCGCACGCTTGACATGATACATATAATAACCAAATAGTTATATCTCTCAGGATACATATAGTATGTAGGGTTCATTATCCTACACATTCGGGTCACTGCGAAGGTCCAATTTTACATACCAAGCACCGGCAGATCGACAGGCTCCATTATTTACCTGATCCGGCTGTCTATGGCTGTGTTGGGTACTTTTGTTTCCTTTCGACTCCATTTCTTGCTCCTTGGGCTTATATGTGGATATGTCCCCGTTTGCTGTGACGAATTAGGAGTTGATATAATATACTGACATTGAAGTTCAATTCGGAGACATCAGCTTGGCGACTTTGCAGATAAAACCGAGAGCATTATTGACCATTTCAACTCGGTCGAGGTATTTTCAATAGTAAATTACCCTCCAATACCTCATAGTCATATAGCTGTGTATGAAGAATACTAGCCCAACTAGCCCATCTGGATGGGATGTGATTGTGGTAGGTGCGGCACTTCTACCTTCTAGGACTTTGTATGTAGTTATAATATAGACCATATATGCATCTTTTAGACCTATAAAAAGATACTAGGTGGTAGAATCACAGAGTCACATTCTTTGCCTGACTAATGCACTAGTATCCATGGATACTATAAAAGATAAAAGATTGGTGTTTGTTACTTCTTACTCCTGTCCATTCCCATATCAATGACGACATCGTGGATCATCCGACTGAAAACAAACAAAACAGGGTAGGGCCGGCCCTCTCGCGTAAACAGATGACACGTATAAAGGAGAATGAACCCAACAACCTTCTACGAAATAGCAGAAATCTCGTCGAATCCCAGGAAATGTTTTGGATTTGCCCATTTCGTTATGAGGGTATTATATCCCTTGATATGGGGCGGCTTCTTGAAAAATGAAATCTCGACAATATGAAAAACAAATAAAAAGGATAAAATACGACATTTGCTCACATATTCACAGTTTTGGGGATTCAATTGTTTCCATATATCAATATCAATATCACCATCTATCAGGTTCAGGATACTTGTTCCGTGATAGTTCCCAGCTCAGGTACGTGATGGACTTCCATTCTATTACTTCGATTCTTTTTTTTTCTCCCCCTTTGCAATGGCACACGATGATGCAGCTATATCCGTGACTTACCTTTTTATGGTGAAATTGATACCTTACATGTTTCAAGACGGGTCTCTGAGTCTGCCAAATCTTACCTTGTGTTTTGCAATCTGTGTCTTATGTGTCCATGCTAACTCAAGTCAAGTTAGGTATCTTGTTGATTTTTTAATAAATATCATTGTAATGAAGAATGCTATGGTGTAGGAGTATATGTTCAAATTCGAATCCATTTATTTAATCTACGTTGTATATTTCTTCCAGGTACTTTACTCTGTAGGTAATCTCACCAATTGCTGATTAACCCAGCTGATAAATGATTAGTTAATCCCGTAATTCCTTAATTCCGTAATTCCGTGATCTCACGATAGTTAAGCCAGATTAGCAACTGAAACATAAGCAAGAGCCTACATGTCTATATAAACAATATACCCGCACATCAAAAGTCACCTGTAAATTAATCCAAACCATCAAGATGACAGCCCGCCTCATTCAATCTCCCCTAAACACCATCACTCGCGCAACACTGTCCAGAACCAGTCCAACACGTCTCATATCCACCCACCAAACCCATCTATATCGAACCCAATCTCACCAAACAACATCTCGGTCATTTTCCTCGTCAACCCGCAAACCAGCCCCAACCCCAGCAGAAAACATGTCTAGCGCCCTAATCGATTTAGCCAAGAACAGGCGCACGATCTACCAGCTCGGCAAGAAGAGCCCAGTCCCAGACTCTAAGATCGAAGAGCTTGTCAATGCCGCCATCCTCAATGTCCCCAGTGCGTTCAATACCCAGTCTACACGGTTAATCGTGGTCCTGCACGATCAGCACGACGGACTATGGGATATCGCTATTGAGGCCTTAGGGGGCCTTGTTAAGGCGGGTAAGATCCCACAGGAGATTTGGGAGAAGCAGACGTTGCCTAAGTTACTTGGGTTTAAGGGGGCGTATGGAACAGTACGTACTTTACTTTTTCTTCTTTTTCTTCCAGGGCCTTTGATTCGATGTTATGGTTTTCTCTATTGAAACTCGAAGTATCTAGTCCTGTCCATAGCTAATCAATACCCAGATCCTCTTCTACGAAGACCCGGCACACATCAAACCCATGCAGGAGAAGTTCGCTACCTACAAGGATAATTTCTTGCCGTGGGCGGAGCACTCCAATGCCATGCATCAGTACTTCCGTATGTTTATTGTTTTCCCTTTCTTCGTGTCTCGCCTTCTAACTGTTGCCAGTCTGGACCGGCCTTGAAGCGCTCGGCTTCGGCGCAAACTTGCAGCACTATAGCCCGCTCATTGACGCTGGTGTTGCGAAACAGTGGGATCTGCCTAGTGAGTGGCGGAATGTTGCTCAGTTAGTCTTTGGAAGTCCTGAAGGTGCTGTTGGGGAGAAGGTGCAGAAACCTGTTGAGGAGAGGGTTAAGATTTTCGGGAAGTTGTAGGTCTGATATAGACATAGATGAGGGAGGAATTGGAGTATTTGTATAGATGTTAGACTTTCACCGTTTGACCCCGCGCTTACTCCCACCCAGGCACGTGAGTGGATAATTACCAATCTGAACAACTGGAAAACTCGAGATACTCTATGGATAAATGTCAGAGAACACATTCTCAAACAGAATCCGAGTCACAAGTTCACATCCTGATCACCCTGGCAATCCAGGTTACATTCCGTGGAAACAGACGAGTATCGCCCCAACGAACACCACAAGAGGGGGAATATTAGGCCTGGGTATAGGAAACAAAGGCTTACTACCTGCTGTTTTAGATCCAAGCTTAATAGATACCACATCCCTAAAGTGATGGGTCAACAATACTCTCCGGAGGGCAACGCTGGCTCAGAGGACCCGTTGAACTCCTACCCCAACCCTCCACTATCGCCATTCATTCCGAGCAGTGTATATCAAGATCTAAAGGTTGTGGATTCAACGGCACATAGTGGCGAGGCAAACCGCCTGTCGAAGGACCCCCTATTATCGGGCCGCCTACTGGAACTTCTCAAGTCGCAGGCGAATCTATCTTGGACAAGAGGAAGAATCAATCAAACCCGACCAATGCTCCAATGGACAAACCAGGAGATTCCAGTACGACAATGTACAAGCTAGAGTCCATTGAGCTAGACGACATGATCTCTCGGCTCCTGGATACGGCACATTCAACCAAATCCAACAAGACGGTGCGTCTTAACAATTTCGAGATCACCACCATCTGCGTCTTATCTCGCGAACTCCTCCTTTCCGAGCCCACTCTCTTAGAGTTACCCGCCCCCATTAAGGTCGTGGGCGATATCCACGGCCAATATACCGATCTCATCCGAATATTCCAAACATCTGGATATCCGCCGGAATCGAACTATCTTTTCCTCGGCAACTACGTAGACCCAGGAAGACTGAGCCTGGAGACCATCCTCCTACTCCTATGCTATAAAATCAAATACCCGGAGAACGTCTTCCTGCTCCGTGGCAACCACGAGTGCGGAAGCGTTTGCAGAATGTCTGGCTTCTATGACCAGTGCAAGCGACGACACAATAAGAAGATCTGGAAGTATTTCATCGACACTTTCGACTGCCTTCCTATCGCGGCAATAGTATCCGGCAAGATCTTCTGCGTTCACGGCGGGCTGTCGCCTGATCTATTACATATGGACGATATTCGTGATATCGCTCGTCCTACTGATGTACCCGACGATGGGCTGCTGACCGATCTTCTATGGAGTGACCCGGCAAGTGGCATGGAGGAAGACTGGGAGCCTAATGACCGTGGCGTGAGCTACTTCTTCAGTGAAAAGGTTATTAAAAGCTTTCTGGACCGACATGGTTTTGATTTGGTGTGCCGGTCCAATATGGTTGTCGAGGATGGGTTTGAGTTCTATCAGGGCCGGACTCTAGTGACCATCTTCTCAGCCCCAAATGTAAGTTGCGTTGGATTTCCTAGCCTTTCGATATATTGCTAATCTTCCCCAGTATTGCGGCGGCGAGTTCAACAACTTGGGCGCTATCATGTCCGTTTCGGAGGACCTTCTCTATAAGTTTGAGTTGATAGAGCCGCCAGACTTGACTGCATCAAAAAATCACAAGGGTCAAATAAAGCAAGATAACATGCTAAACAAACCTGTAAGTTTGGTTGTCCCTTGTGTGTTGTTTATGTGCAACGATGCTGGGAGTCAGTTACTGACGAATGATATGTCACTGTTAGGTGATATAACTAGTCAATTAGCCATGTCCGTAGACACTAGCTCGTATATGAAAATAGGTGATCCAGGGTGATCCAGGGTGATAACCTAGAATTATATTGACCAGGCGCGCACGTCTCCAGAAAGTCTTCGTCAAGAATAACATATTTGTTAAGAAACCTAGGGGTTCTATACACAGACATCCCTTAGTCCAAGTACAAAGACCAAAAACAACAATGACCAGGAACGACCAGGAAATAAAAGCATAGCTGCCACTAACACCAGCCATCTACCTGCTAGTACGATACCAAAACTCAGGCGGATCACCAAGACACTCGCCAACAGTGACAGCTATAAGAGAAATATATTAGCCATATCCCATAACCACCGACAAACACAAAGAAAAGAAGAAAAAAACATACCACTCAGCCCCCTCCTCTCAACATCCTCAAGCATATTATCCACCAAAATCTCGACGGTGTGCTGATGCGCATCATGCGCCAACACAATCGTCCCACCAGCATCGACTTCCCTCTTGAACTTCTCAAAACTAATCCAGTTCGTATCGGGGTTATCATTCTCATAGTCCTTCGTATCAACACTAGCCCCAATGACATGGTATCCCAGATCAGCCATGGCGCCGAGGACGACGGGGGTATGTCTGAGGAACGGAGGACGCATGTAGGTCGGGAAGAAGCCGAGGATGCGCATGAAGGCTTCTTCGAGGGTTCTCATTTGGTGTACAATTTCTTCGTATGGAAGGGTATCAAGGGAAGGGTGGTTCCATCTGTATGGTTATTCGGTTAGGATATGTTGGTGCTTGGACTTGACTTGACTTGACTGGGGAAAGGAAGCGAAGCGAGAGCAGGTCATTGGGTGGTATCAACGAACGTATGAGACCCCAGCTGATGTCCTTCTTCCAATGTGCGTTGCACTATCTCAGGGGAGGTATCGATGTGACCTCTGTTATGGCCGTTGAGGAAGAAGGTTGCTCTAACGTCGTGTTCGGCGAGTGTATCTAGGATCTGGGGTGTGTAGATGTACGGGCCGTCATCAAAAGTGAGAGCTATTGTGCCTGGGATGGCACAGTGGGTGATTATGGCACCGAAAGGTAATTTGGAGGCGTTGGGATGGAGGGTATTGGTGGTTGTATTGGTGTTGATACTGTCTCCTGTGGGAGCGGCTTGGGATATGGTTACAGCCGAAAGTAGTAATGGAAATAGGGAAACGAGGAAATGCATTTCGATGAACGAATGAACCAGGTCGGAGTATATAAGGATAATTGGAATGCCTGTTGATGTTGATGCCTATGTTGAATGGGAGTGATGGGGCGAGGTTATATATAACGTTGGCCAGGTGCCAGATGTGAGGCAGCAAGGATATCTCTACTTCGCTGCTTCCTCGGATTCGAATCAGACACAGACGGAGTTCTGAACATAAAAATCTGCATTGAATATAACTGAACGTTTAGATTGCATCCCCAGTGTCATGGTAGATATTATACCTGCCACAAATAAATACGAATACATCAAATTAAAAAGGTATCAAAAGGGCAGGATAAAACATTCAACCCGCACCTTTCCCACAGCAAAGGAGCGAGAAGACAGAATAAAAATCCTCCAAAACAACGACACCCCGTTTAACCCTTCCGGGTACTCTTCTTCGCCTGGCGTCTTTGTCCCTTCTGAGCCTCACGGTCAAGGAACTTGCGCTGCTCGTCGGCACTCAATCCACGCAGGATGCGCTCACGCTCATCCTTCTTCATCTTCTCGGCGGCAATGCGGCGCTCCTCGGCTTTCTCTTCTTCGTCGATACGGCGCAGCTTCTTGATCTCCTCTTCGCGGACGTTACGGACCTTGCGCATGACTTCGCCACGGAAGTGAGCAGAGGCGACCAGCTTGTCGGACAAGCGCAGGAACTGGTTGAACAGAGGGACGGTGGAGGCGTAGCCGGACGGGGAGGAGGAGGCGAGGTTAGCGGAGAGCTGGATGCGCTTCTTGGGGATGGTCTCCTCAATCCTGTGAAACACACATTTGTTAGCAACTAATCCGATTAAAGTCCCCCACTGAGGTTACGTACTTGGTGGGTCTGTCGACAGGCTGGTCCGTGACGATCAAGTACTCAAAGTCATTACCAGCCTGCTCAATGGCCTGGATCAACTCCGGGGTGAGGAGCGTATCGCTAATCTCGGCACTCTCAGTCATCACGGTGACCCACGAAGGGAGCTTGGGGTTGTCCTTGGAGAAAGTGATGGAGGCATCGTAGCGGTCGTTGCGGAACTTGCGCATGTGGCTCTTGTGAACAACGGCCCAAATGAAGCCGTCGTAAGTCGAGCTAGGCACCTTAACGGGAGCAGAATCCTTAGCGAGAACGGGAACGAGATCCTTCTCCTTGCCATCGAAAGCATACAGCAGAGCCTCGTATTTCTCAACGGGGGGCTCCCAGCTCTCAAAGAAGAAGCTGAAGGCATACTCCATAATGAAGGTGATGGGGTTGTATCGCTTGGGCATCTTGATGTTGACATCGAGGAAGGCAACGTTCTGGCGGCCAGTCGCATACGCGGCGAACTCGGAGGCAGACCTCTCCTTCAGCAGCGACTCGGGGTTGGCGAGCTCCACGGTGATCGCCTCACCGTCCACGGGAGCCGGTCGGGCGATTCCATCAAATCCAACGACGGAAAACTCCTTCTGAAGAGAAGGTCCGTGGGCCTGCGCCCAGTCCCTCGCCTTGCGTCGGTTTTTGCGCGTTCCCCAGAGGTGGAAGAGGACAATCAAGAGGATGACGGGCATGATCATGGCCTCCTGCTTGAAATCGCTCGGGGATGTCCTCTCCCATACCCGGTACCAAGCCGTGTAAGGGACCACCTTAGCGGCCAGTGTGTTGGCCGCCGGGACGACGGTTGAGTCGGTGAGGAGGGAGGCAGGCGACGGGTTGGGAGCTTCCACGAAGTCGGCGAAGTCTACCAGAGTCAGCTCGGCAATTGAGATATATCAATTAACATACCATCATCGGGCTTGGTCTCCTGGGAGCCAAACACGTTCTTGAACATGCCCGCCATATTGGGAGTTGATATGATATGGATGGAAGGGAAAGGAGTGGGAAGGAAGAGATGTCTATTGCGCGGTGGCCGGTGGCCGGTGCCCGGTGCGGAGCTAAGTTCCTCCCGGGTCTAGCGCTGTCTCCAGCTTTTTGACCCGCATCAGAGAGATATTTAGGCGATTTAGGCGATTGGAGATTGAATTGGGAACAAGACAGAAATATAATTCAAAACTCCAAATATCCATCCGATTCTTCTCTCGGTACCTCCCATAACCCATCCTAGAATAAAGAATACAAAAAAATAATGACTAATGAGTGTGGTATCATGTAAAAATGAAACCTCCGAAGAACACAACGCCAACTGTACCTGACAGAACCCAGTTTTTTACAATCCCGCTCCAAAGAAACATCAGTTTAGCCTTAGCCCCAAACAAAAGGAAGAACAAAAGAAGAATCAAGAAACGGCGAGGAATAGAAAGGAAAAGTAAAGGATAAGAAAATCGTAACGGTCATACTCGAGGGTTACTCAAGTGTAGAAAAGAAAAAAAAAGCACTCAGTGGCCATACGCCGGGGGAGGACTGTCTTCGTGCTGACGGCTCCAGAAGCCGCTGCATGCATTTGTCATAAGCTTGTCCTCGCGCATCCGACGAGCGATTTCACCGGCGAGTCTCTCAACTAGGACGGAATCAACGCTTTCGTTGGCGTTCTCATTTTTGCTGAACGGGAGAACAGTCGCAGGCAACGGGCCTCGCTGGTTGCTAGACGGTCCCGGCTCGGCCTTCTCCTGGGGATAACCACGCACAGTAGCACGAGGGGTGACATCCACGTCCTCTGCTTTAGGTCCACGGATAGTCTCATGGGAGTATGACAAGTCCCCATCCCGGCGTGATGAGCGGGGGAGACTGGCTAAATGCCTTTCGGGGATAACGGGCAAGTGGGAGTCGGCTTCGGGTGAAAGCGGCGGTGTAACTGGGTCATCGGACGGCTCGTTCACGATGGGGAGAGGCGCGGAGGCGATAGAGGGGGGTCTGGACGAGTCGGTCACAACGCTCTCATCGCTGACGCTCATGACGTCGTCGGTTGTCTTGGGGCGACGCAGATCCACAACACGCTTCTTGCGTTTCCGGGCATGGGCTTTGGAATGTCGTCCAGCGCCTAGACTCAGACCATAGGTACTCGTACTGAATGAATGGCTGGACATGGAGGGGCGACTTTGCATGGAGATAGTGCTGGCAGTTTCGTGAAGGGAAGACATGCTTCCCATCTGGGAATGTGTTCGCGAAAGTGTCGGGCTCAGTGGAGAGATCACGCTCGAAGGGAATTCGCTGGTATCGGTTGGAGAAGTCCATGCGCGGTACACCACTTCCTGGATCGAGGGAGTGAACAAGGACAGGGTACGTTGTGAGTCTGTCAGGGCGGCCAAGCGAAGGAGGTTCTTCTGCGAGAAGAGGGAGTGGGTCTCGACCGATGAATCCAAAGAGAGCGATGCGATTTCGGACTCATTCAATGCATTTCCGAGGGAATCGACAGGATCTTGTGGCGGGCTAGCTAGAGGGTCTTGGCCAGGACCTTCGCTTCTGGACTTGGCTGTATTGTCGGTCTCGTCGTTCATCTCCTCCCCTGTGCGATATTCTGGAACCCATAACCGGAGCGAAAGTCGATGAATGATGGCTGGGAGCTCGTCCATGAACAATATTCGGAGCTGGGCTTCGATTTCTTTTTGTAGGAAGTCGCGCACGAACGGGATCGAATCGAAGGTCGAGGACACTTTGAGCGACTCAAGCGGATCATTACGGAACACGACTGTGATTCCTTTTTGTTTAGAGAAAACCAGTATAACGAATCCAGAGAGCTTGAAGTCGGAGAGGGTAATTTGTAGAGGTATGGTGAGCGGAGTACTAGAATCGCGACAGTGTCAGTAAAGATATTTGAGAAGTTAAAAGTCAAAGAAGATCTAGGTGAGACTGAAGACATACGCTGCAGCAAGAGGTACTGGTGAGCCGAAAGTTGGTCGTGTGAGGAGGAAAGTATTGAGTGGATTCGCCTGAACGCGAGTCTTCAAGGTGAGAAAGGCGTCGCCAGTATAAGACATTTTAAAGATGCCTCGAAAGCGATCTTCAGCCAAGTCACCGATTTCCAGAATCTCAAGTTCGGGGGGATGGATCCCAGGTTCAACTCGGTGACGTGAATATCGTCAACTATTATGGGGGGTTTGGGCGATTTATTAAGGGCGGCAGTGAGCAGATCTTGGGCGCGAGTATAGAAACTCGCGTCTGCCATCAAAGGCGACCAGTTGAAGTTGAACGCCATGCCCAAGCATCGAGAAGAGTATTAAAGAGAATAAAAATAACAAATTACAAGGGACATTTAGATGATGGGATAGTCAAAGATAGTTCAAAAAGAGAGAATGAGGGAGAGAGGCGGGAGGCGGAAGGCGGAAAAAAGGGAAGAAAAAAGTTGGCGCACACCCGAAGAGGGCGCGTGCTTCCGAGTTGCTGGACTTTTCTTTATTTTCTTTAATTTTCTTTACTTTTATTTTTATTTTTTTTTCATTAGTGGTCTGTTGCTTTAAATGGATATATTATTCTATTAGCTCTATATCTTTTCTCTCTCTCTCTTGTATTCTTGTTGATATTGATCGTATGTGCCATAGATATAACCCGGTACGTCACAATGTGACTTGCAGGAACCACTTCCGGTCAGCCCCGGCTTGATGTCCACTGTGGATGAGGCACTGGGCCATTCATCGTTCAGGATGATCCAGTTTGCATGTATCTAGACCTCTTGGGCTATGGACTATTTATCCTATGACCATTTTAGAAATCTGGAGAAAGGGGAAAAGGGGGAAAACACGGGATATGTTTCTGAAAAGGTGTCTTACTATATGGACTATGTACAGAAACAGCCACGGGGTTGCAGATCTTTAAACGTCTTGAGTTCCACGTTCGTTTCATGTACGGAGTACGATGTAAGGGAAATACTCCGAGAGAAAGTCCAGTGTCTCAATAAGCACTGAAATGAAAATAAGAATTTCTATCCCTTGTACTCAGTACCGTAGGCATATGTACTCCAGGATTGTCGGAGTATACCCTTCCCCCGGACTTGTGCCTTGTTCCTGAATATCTCTGCCAAAGTAGAATCGCATCAAGTTTTCTTATACATCTAATCATCCATAGCTTAAAGCAATAACTATCCATTCAAGTACAACATAAGTATGCGACAGTCCAATATACAACATAAAAGTCCGGAGGCCAAAGGCAGAATGTTTTCACCGCAGCAACACTACGCTAATCCCGATTAGGCTAAACATCAACATGATCCATCACTTCCCAGATCATCTTTCTCGACCTCATTCTGTCGAACAGAACCATCCTAACCCCCATAACACAGGTATTCTATGCCCCACATTGATATATTGGTTGTATAAATCTTTCCCGACAATGTCAACCCGGTCACTCTCGCCAGTTTCAAGTCACGCGACACCAATGGAGCCCAAACAATCCAAGCCCAAATCGGTGGCTCAGCGCAGAGTGTACGGGAAACGAAAAGCCAATGCCCCCAGGGCAGTTTTTGACCAAGGAAGCCCTGCCAGAGAGTCCAGATCCAAAACTCAGCAAGTTGACCCTGTGGAAAGCCTTCAAGCGAAACTAGCCCAAGTAACAATCAATGATGACTCGGCCCATCAACCGGAGAACCATGCACAGCCTACGGAGGTTGCAATCGAGCAGCAGCAAGAGTTGGCCGAAATTCCCTCTGATGAATCGAGTTCGTCCACGATAGAGGACAACTCGGACACCCCGACAACGCAATCCTCTGTCGAATCCTCCCCGGAGGAGGCGAAGCCAAAACCGAAGCAATGTGAGACGATGATGGAAGTCAGAATATGTCCGAAAGCTCCAAGACAGCCCTCTCAAATTACATCGGACCCCCCAGCTAGGACGTCAGAGTCCACAAGTGAGGATCGAGAAAAGCCAGGTACATCCTCCGACAGAAAGAGAGTGGAAAGAAAGAAGATTTCTGCACCCAGACGGTCGTCTGGGGTTGTTCACGACATCAAAGCCAGCGATTACGTCCGCCCAATTCTGAACGAGGCACTATCTCCAATTGCCGCGCAAGGCATTCAGAAGTTCGGCTCATGGGCTTCGCGATCAGCAAACATGTTCGATGTCGCAAAGCTGGCAGAGGGATCCTACGGCGAAGTTTACAAACTTCATCTACGGGAAGAGGCTTGTAGGACAGTTGTGTCAAAGTCAAAGTTGGTTAAACTAAAATCATACGGCGATGGAGTTTTCAAGATCGTGCCTCTGCGAGCAAAGAGCGGCCCCGGATCCAAAAAGTTCACCAGCATTGATGAAATTGTTGCTGAGGTCAAGATGCTCAAGTACCTGGACCCGATCCCTGGCTTTGCTCGCTTCAGAGAGATTCATGTTGTTCAAGGTCGTTTCCCAGAGTCATTCCAAAATGCATGGGACCACTATAAAAAGACCAAAGACGACTGTATGAATCCCAACCCCTCAAACAAGCGAGCTTATCCCGATACGCAGCTTTGGGCAATTGTGGAGATGGACGATGCCGGATGTGAACTGGAGAAGTTTGCTTGGTCATCGATTTTCCAGATCTATGATATCTTCTGGGGAGTTGCCATGGCTTTGGCCCGGGCAGAGGAGTATGCTATGTTCGAACATCGAGATCTTCATTTGGGAAATGTTTGCATACGTTCTACGCGGGAAGATGGTTGCATGGATCCCCCCCACAGAACACGATGTTGCACGACAGCCATCCTCCAGTGGATTTGGAATCAGCTCCCTTGAAACGACCATCATCGACTACTCGCTCTCTCGGGCGGATCTACTCCTGATAGATGATCCCGCTGGTCTCACCGAGGTTGCGTCCTCAGATTTAGACAAGAAGCAATTGTTCGATGCTATTGGCCAAGATGAAGATGAGATCATGCAAAGAAACACCTACCGATAGTATGTTACCCCATGTCTGCTCATTCGGCTTCTTAAGAAAATTCCTAACATTGAAAATCAGTATGCGCGCAACACTCTATACCGGTTATCCCATCGAAACAGAAAAGGTGGCGGACATTCCTGGCATTTGGGCAGAATACTCCCCACGTACCAATTTGGTCTGGCTACTGTTCCTGCTTCAGAGTCTGTTCAAGAACCGCAAGCCTGAAGCACCGCCTGCACAACCACAGCGAAAGGCTCTTACGCCTTGCTCGCCCAACAAGATGATACCAAAATCGGACACAGCCGAAGGGAAAGACCAAAACATGGCCGGGTCCCTCGTCAAGGAGAGACAAACCAAAGATGTTCAAGCCGGTATCTCGCGGCTGAAGCAAACACTAGACGACAGGCTGAAAGCCGTCCTTGAACTTCTCGACCTGGAGCATGGACATGAAGACATGTGTTGCGCCGCGGATTTGGTGGCCTACGCGATGGACTCGCAATGGCTGGGCGAACAAGACTTCTTCTGATGGTCCGTTGGTATACGAAAAGCATTAGCAAACTGGGGAGTTATATCGATTTTGTATTTTGCATGGTTAGGAGTTATCATTTGTTTACATATTGTGCGCTTGGGGCTGAGCGTTTCAATATAAGGTGCATTACCTTGGATAGGTTACCAGCATTAGCATAAGAGACTTGCATACAGAATATTCTGGCATTCTACATTTTGGCATCGAAATACACTTACTCCGTCCTTTTACCTTAATTATGAAAATAATCAAATTAAGTTGTTTGTCGACATGCCACATCCATCATACATCGGGTATCGGTTTCCGGCCAAGTGATTATGGCCATGCTATGTGTTTTCTATTCTAGCCGTTTCCAAATGCTCCAACCCTCTGTACTCAGGGCAATAGCCCTAGTTGACTAGATGCATCCATATGCTATGTGCTCAAATGCCCCGGGGAAAGACGAAACAAACAGCCCAGCCGCAACCCCGAGACAAAAAGAAAGAAAACGCCATTTCAGATATTTCGACAAACGCTTTTCGGCCCCATGCTTTTCTACAGTCGAGATAACGATCCGTTCTCAACTGAATGTGATAACAAAAGAGATGTTGTCAGTTCGTTTCGTAAAAATCATACACCTACAGTGCAGAGCCAGTACCGGCCCGGAAGAGCTTCACCATCAATTCAGGACGGCTCCAGAGCGAGAAGGACTTCTGATCAGCCCAGTTCAGAGACTCGGGGAGCAGTTCCAGGTCGAAGTTCCACAAGAGCTTAGCAAGCAGGAGACGCATCTCGGCGTTCGCAAGGCTGTAGATGAGATGTTAGCAAACACTGCCAGGTACAGCTCAGCAAACATCGGATGGAGTGAGTAGGTAGCGATAGAATTCATGCTTACTGTTGACCGAGACAGTTGCGTGGACCGTAGGAGTAGGGCTGGAAGGCCTCCTTCTTGTCATTGCTGTACTCGTCAGACTCGTTCAACCAGCGTTCTGGGACGAATGCCTCGGGGTTCTTGAAGTGCGAGGCGGCGTGGAAGGTGGAGTACAGTGAGACGGAGACGGAGACCTGTTTGTATTTAAATGTTATTAGTAGTGAGCTCTGAAATTGGAAATTGGAGTTTGTGTTTGTGTTAAGATGGGAATAGCGAAGGTGGGAACTGTCTTTTCTGAGACCAGCTCCTTGCACTTTGTATATTGTACTCACCTTTGCAGGGACGTATTTGTTATTGACCATTGCTCCGCCTTCGGGAACAATGCGCGGAAGCATGGAAGGAATCGGCGGATACACACGCATGGCCTCAGTCAAGACAGCGTTCAGATAAGGAAGGTCGACGAGGGTGGATAGCTTAATGTCAGTGTCCTTGGCAAAGGCGCCACGAATTTCCCTGATCAAGCGCTCGTACTTGTTACGGCAGCGTAGAAGGTAGTAAGTCACGCCAGAGAGGAGGGCAGCGGTAGTCTCACTGCCAGCCAAGACGAACACGGCCGAGTTTGCATCCATCTCCTCGGGGGACATGCCTCTCCCATCCTTGGCATGCTTCAGGATGTATGAAGTGAAATCAGGGCGAGTAGTGTCCAGGGCAAGGCGACGACGAACCTTCTCAACGCTCAGGTCGAAGCTAGCTTGACGTTTCTGAAGAAGATGTTTGGGGACCAGGACGCGGACCAAGGGCAGGAGGAAAGGGTAGAACCAAAATATCTTGAGATAGGCACTTGCCTTAACGGCATCCAGAATAATTCGAACCCACCAGTGGTATTTGCTAGTCGATAAGCAGCCGAAGGGTTCTCCAAAAGCGAGGTCGCCAATAAGGTCGAAGGTGGTGAAGTTGAACCAACAAGTGATGTCAATGTTTTGAGACACGGCACTGCCCATGAGACCCTTGAGTCTTTCAATGAACATGCTAGCGTACATCTGGAGGATCTCTTCCTGCTCACGGAGAGCTTTGTTGGAAAAGGCGTGGGTCAGCAAACGGCGCATCCGGGAGTGATCGTCCTCATTGGCTGTGATGATAGCGTTCACACCGTTGGGAGTGGGTGCATACAAGGCTGGATCCTTGACGAAGACCTTCTGTCCCTTCTTGCGGTGACCGTAGATATCCTTCCATGCCGTTGCGGCACGGTAAACGAGAGCATTCGGAGAAATGCGGACGACGTCTCCGTACTTGTCGTGGAGACGTTTTATTGTAGAATGTTGTTTACCCTGGATATCCCAAATGAGATGAACCAAAGGAGTGATGGCAGCCAGCTTGGGCCCAGGGTAACCACTCAGAGGGTGGAAGCAGAGAGTGTGAATGATCCAACCCACATAGTAAACGGACAGCTGTGATATTTGATCGGTATGAGACACACATTCCTTGAATACATATTCCTGTATATCAGTACTCACAAATACAACAAGTCCACTCAGTAGAGTCCAGAATGAAGGGACAGCTAGGGCATGGCACCAGCTGCCCATAGCCAACGAACCGAAAATCATCATTAACAACTAGAGACAGTTAGATATACGGCCAAAGACCTTCGGAGATGCTATCCTTACCGAAAGACAACCGAAAAAGAAACAAATATCAAAAAGAGGGAACTGTATCAGGGAGGGAAGAAGGGAAGGGAAGGGGAGAGAGGTGAAGGACGGAGGAACTGAGGGGACTGTGGGCAAACGGCACAGATAGGATGATAGACTTACAACAGGAGTTGACTAGAGAACGTAGAACGGCGGGGGACTGTTTGGAGAATATTTTTCAAAGCTCCCATTGACTACGTTTAAGAGCCATAGAAAACGCGGAGGAGATAGCCGGCAAAGTTTGACTTGGAGTCTCAAGTTAGGGCTACTCAAACGGAAAACAGGGGCTACATTAAAGGGTTTAATGGGTCACCAAACAAAGGAGTACTCATGCCGATATCAAGTAATGGAAGAATTTTCATGGCTCGTCATTCGTTATATTCGGGTCTATTAGATGAACACAAAATTATATGACACCAAAATCAACCGCTGGCAACAGAGAAACTCAACAAGCTTCCAGCAGCCAGTCCACCAACAAGAACCAGGCTCATAAATCCACCAGCAGCCGGTCTTTCATCGGCAACAACCCAGTGACTAGCGCCCATCATACAGCTTGTCCCCAGGTACCCATTGGTTGCACCAAAGAAGAACTGAATGAAGAAATAGAAAATGTCACTCTTGACGGCAGCACCTTGGCCATTGACGTTGCAGAGCTGGTACATAGGAATGAAAACAACACGGGCAATGGCCACAATGGCAGCCATTTGAGGATGCTGTCCCAGGGACACTCCTGGAATAGCCACACACATCCTCCCGGCCAAGTCACCCAGGTTCCAGATCAAAAACGCCAAGGGAACAAAGACACTAGGATCGTAGATTCGTGAACTGGCAGGGTCGTTGACAGACTGGATTTCCGCCGTGTAAACTGGGAACACCATAGAAATCAAAAAGCAGACGAACACAGCGAACGCCAGGAACCTGAGCTTGACGAACAAAGTCCACAGGCTGACAGTCTTAGAATGTTCACGGTCATCCGCAATAGACTCATCGTCATCCCTTGACAACTTTTGCCTCGAAGAAGATTGTTGTCTCAAATGATAGAGGAAAGCCAGCAAAGCAATGACGGAGACACCCGTAGACGTAAGAAAGTAAATAAACGCTGACTTCGACGCACCCGTCTGGGGCATGCTGGGGTCTTGTTCCGGGCTAACGCTATCCCCCTTCGACGGCACAGCCAGCACAGAGAAGATCTGAACAATGCAAGGCAAGACACCAGCAACACCCTGTCCACCCATGATAGCCTGGGTATATTCCTCCCTTCCGAACCCGGAGACGTATGCAAAGACGCCATTCTGGTTGATACCAGTGGCCAGACTCGCAGCGCACACCATTACCATCAGGAAGCCAAAGTAGGCCCGCGGCGAGGAATCGGTCATGACGACCGCCGAGAAGGCCAAGATAGTGAACACAACAGAATTCATCAACAGCGAGAACGTTATACGCCGTGGATAGGAGGCATTCCTCTGGAGCTTTGCTAGGGCATATGCGGCTCCGAGGTTGGTGACAGTTGACATGGATTGAATCGACGGTTGGTAGTGCAGTCTTGTCCAATCGTCCGACTGGAATCGACTGTAGAAATATGGTGCCGCTGCAAGGAACATATTCCTAGATTGTGCTCCGCGTTAGTTTTGGTTGGCCCAACACATAGCTTTGTTTCTCCGGATTCGGAGACTGTTGAGTTTCACTTACCAGGCCCACAGCATAGACACTCCAAGGAGGAAGAATATGCCATACTGTAACCTTGAAAAGGGAGACTGCTGGTGTCGCGCCCTGTATGTCGTCTCATCGGCGGAGTCCGCAGCGGAGTCTTGCAGTCGCTCATACGCTGCCGGACGGGCGATGAGACTACGTATGCGGTTCATGGCCGTCTTTTTCAACCACTGCTTCTTATGTATAAGTAAAAGATTCTGTAAAATAAGGGGATGAGGCCATAGTAAAGAGCTGTAATGCGCTGTTGAGGTCGGCATATGACTGGTTACTAAGCAAGATATGTCGCATGCAACTCCGGGACCTGTCAGGCGGGCGATGGCGGGCGATGGCGGGCGATCGATAAGTTATCATCTCAGGGCTCATCTGCAACTAACATACCTTTTGTAGCAAGCTTAATTAAATCAGTACTAGGTATATTCAAAATAAGAATATTTGGGCGCGAATATGGCTTTTTGTCAATGACGACGTAGAACTCTATAAATTCCGATTTATTTTGCTAAGGTGACATATGGAACCTTCGTGATATAAAGGAACACTCCTTATATATAAGAACACTCCGATATGTTTTTGGACGCTCTGTATGAAAATGGGATCAAAACATAAATACTTTTTTGAGTATCACTTTTTTCAATTTTATATCATGCCAGAACAGAGGTGAGCGAATAGCGAATAGCGAGCAACAAAAGTGGTAATCGGACACTACTAGTATTGATATCAAGATTTGTACACAGTAATTGTTGATTTAGTATCTATCGGAAATTTAACATGCAGAATGTGTATGGGAGTATGAGGAGAGAGGACCGTAAGAGGTGAGTGTAGATGAGGGAACATGTATCTCAGCAAAAAGAAAACATCAACAAGAATGAATAGACATCGTAATGAGATGGTAGTGTAAGGGTAGGGCCAAGAGTGAACGAAGTTTGGGTACGATTAGTCCTTCTTCGGAGAAGCTGTCTCCTCCACTTCTACGTCTTCTTCCTCCAGCTCAGACTCTGACTCCTCCTTCTGGAGCTCCCAGAGCTGATCTGCTTCAATAGTGTTGACCGGAGGTGGCGTTGTTTCGCCACCACTCATTTGCCATTCCATGAGCTTCGTAAAGGCGCCACCGGGGTGAGAGCTGAGTTCATCGTAGGAGCCTTGCTCGGCGACCTTGCCATCGGGGCCGAGGACAATGATCGTGTCGGAGCGCTTGATGGTGGAAAGACGATGGGCAATGCTAATTGTCGTGTTGTTGCCGCGAAGCAGAGCGGCCAACGCACTGTTGACGAGGGTTTCAGATTCGGCGTCGAGGGCGGAAGTGGCTTCATCCAGAATCAGAATATCAGGCTCCTTGATAAGGGCACGCGCAATGGCAATGCGTTGCTTCTGACCACCGGACAACTGAGCTCCACGAGCTCCAACGTGAGTATCAAGTCCATCAGGCTGTATTGGGTTAGGGTTAGCCAAGTTCATGAAGATAATAGCTGCTCGGCGAACTTACGAAGTCGCTAATGAATTGACAGTTGGCCTTGCGTGCAGCAGCAATGATCTCTGAGCGTGTTGCCCGAGGCATGCCGTAGGAGATATTGTCAGCGATTGTTCCAGAGAAAAGCACAGGCTCCTGGGAAACTATGCCAATCTTTCTGCGAAGGGACTTGGCGTTCATTCCCTTGATATCTTTCCCGTTAATCAAGATCCGGCCCTCAGTAGGGCTATAGAACCGGAGCAAAATGGATGCAATGGTAGATTTGCCTCCACCAGATGGTCCAACGATTGCAACGTTGGTTCCTTGAGGGATCTCGAAGTTCAATTCCTGGAAGATCTTCACAGCGGGACGAGTAGGGTAGGAGAACGTGACATTCTCAAATCGGATGGGTCCACGCGCGGTCTCAACCTTGAGACCCTTGGTTGGGTGAATCGTGGGCTGACGATCTTGTAGCTCGAAGAGTCGACTCGCCGCACCCACACCTTTCATCAGCTCCGAATAGAAACTGGAGAGACCGAACATGCTGGAGCCTGCATAAGCAGCGTACATTAAGAACGAAGTCAATTCTCCAATGCTAATAGCACCCGACTGGACCATACCACCGCCAACATACAGCAATGTCAAAATGGTCATATTGCCCATCAAACCAGTCTATTGAGAAGTCAGTCAAAATCGCAAAAAGGCCTAGAAGAACCAAGACTGCCGACTCACCGAGCTGAAGAAGGTTGCGCTAATCAGAGACTCTTTTTTGCCAAGCTCGAAGATCTTGCGGACTTGCTTGTTGTACCGGTTGACTTCGATAACTTCACCGGCAAACGACTGGCTAGTCTTGACGTTGCCCAGACGCTCTTCCGCAATCTTAGTCAACGATCCCAAGTTCTTTTGGATTTTGCGACTGAGGTTCCTAATGGCTCGACCGTAAAAGAGAGCGCCGAGGCCAATTGGAGGAAGCAACACAAGTAAGATAGTGGACAGCTTTGCACTTGTATAGGCCATCAGACTGAAGCCAGCTGCGCCGCTAACAGCAGCTCGTAGACCATCGGATAAGTTCTGCGTGATACTCTTTCCAACAATTATAGTGTCGGAGCTAAGGCGTGAGATTAGATCACCAACCCGGTTGGCATCAAAGAACTCGGCATCCTGCACGAAAGTTTGACGGAAAAGCTTGGAGCGTAGCCTGGCGACAATTCGCTCACCGACAATTCGAAGAATGATGATGCGCCCATAGTTCGCACCGGCACCGAGAAGTAGAATTCCTCCGAGAGCAGTGTAAAACATGGGCATGCTCATGCCGAACAACTCGCCGCCTCCTTCGGTTATGCCCTTGGTTGCAGCGTCCATAATTTTACCAATGGAGAAGGGAACTGCCATTGTGATCGACGAGGAGATTAGAAGGAAAAAGAAGGCGAAACCGAGGGCCTTGGATTCGGGGCGAGCGATCTTCAAAAGCCGCCAGATTTCGGCGAACGCGGATTTCTTTCCCGATGCGCCTTCCTTAGCCAACCTAGCGCTCATGTTGACCTGCGCTGCCTGCGCTGCTCTCTCAGACAATTCAAAGCCCTTGTCTTCCTCCACTTCTTCTTTCAATTCTGGAGCTGACTGGGTAGTTGGATCTGTTGAGGTTGCGGGTGGTTTTGCTTGAAGAAGCTGAGAAGTTGAACATAAAAGGCGTGTTTGGAAGACAATGCGAGATGTATAAGGGGTATATTTAAAGCTGTTATTT